TTCCTGCTGTGCCCAGGCAGGTGCCCGGGTGCCATTCAGCCTCCTTCTGCTTGAAGGGAGCTTGCTTCAGAATCTTCTCCATCCGGGACTTCCAGGTACCACTCTGTCCAAGCCCACAGGGTCTCTCACACCACTGTTCCTCCTGCTGCCAGTCCACACACACCCTTGGGACCACTCCCTCCAGAGGACCCTAGGCCCACCATCTTGGTCTTCCGTTTTGGGTCCAGTTGAGATGAGGTTACTGTGTGGTAGGGGAAGCCCCAAAAGGGTTAAGTTGCCAGAAGCATAGTCCCGCCCTTGGGCTTGCTCAGCCAATCAGAGTCTGTCCTGGTGAGGTAAAGCTTCTATCCTGGGTGGCATTGATGGAGGTGACTGGCCCCATCTCCTGCTGGAGAGAGCCGTAAGGGTGAAGTTTCTGTGGAACCAGACAGAACTGGAATTAGCTCGCTGTCCAGGACTGCCTGACTCCAAAAACCTGCCTGTGCTTCTTTCTAAGGCACTCAGTCAGTCCCTGGCATCTCTGAGACCCATCTCTAGCTGCCCCAGAGGAGATGGCAAGGTGGCACATGCCTCAGTGTCACATCTGGAAGTCATACAGCCAGAGGAGGCCCAGGAGGCCTCAGTTTCCCTGCCAGGGCTCTAGAATCTGGCAGGTAGCTACCAGGGAGTGTCAAAAAAAAATAAAACAAAATAAAACAGTTGTCACATGTGCTTGGGGACCAGCGTCAACCTCAGTAAACAGGAATAACAATAAATTGTCCTACACAGTCACACTGAAAGACAACGATGAGCATCACAGTGGGTAGTTCACTAGGGACCTCCTGCATGCTGCAACACCCTACACAGCCTCACAATAACCCTGGTTACCCCATCTACTTTGCTGATGAGACATCTCAGGGAGGCTAAGTGGTTCTCCCAAGCTCAATGCAATCATTTTGAATTAACTGTTACCATATCTGTCTCCATCACCAGCCTGTGATTGCTAAGGAGAAAATGTGATAAATTCCCCCATAGAGTCCAGGATCCACCCGAGAACAAGGTTGGTCCATGTACCCTTCTCACCCTTAGGTCCCTGAAGACTGAAACAAGCCTAACTCTGTTCAGAAGGTTCTGGAGCCCAGCCCAGAAGCACCTGCATGAGTGACCAGTGGGAGGTTCACTGTTGACCATGAATGAACAGTCAGGACTCCTGTGGACAACTCTCAGATCTACAGGCACGGCCTCCAATGCTTGGATCACCACTCCAGTGCCCACATCATCCCTTTCCCAATTAGAAGTCCATAAGCACCCAGATGAGGTGCCATTCATCTCTGTGGCCCCAAAGAATCTAAAGCAATGCCAGACACAGAGGAGACATTCATCATGTGTATTTGATGAAATAATCAAAATTTGTATAGATCAGCCGGTCCCTGGCAGCTTTAAGCCTCACTGGCCACAGCATGGACCAGCTCTGACAGGATCTAATGAGAAGCCTCACAGTAGTGCTAAAAGTGTAGCAGAGGGAGCCTGGTCCCTGTTATCAAAGGCATAAGAAAGGAGGGTGCCCTCCAGGGACACGTAATGAAGCAAGAGAGGGGCAGAGTTCTAAAGACGAAGCATGGGTGCTGAGCGGGAGAAAGGAGCTGGGATGAGACAGAAGGCAGATCACTTATTCCCACAGAAGAGAACATCCTTAGGGCTGAGGAGGGAACCCAAGTGGATAGAGTACTTCCTTGTCCCGTTCAATGCCCGGAACGGTATAAACTGGGTATAGTGGTACACATGTGTAATCCTAGCCTTGGGAGGTGGAGGCAGGAGGGAGCCAAAGTTCAAGGTCATCCTTGGCTACACATGGAGTTTGAGGCCAGCCTAGGCTACATGTAACCCTGTCTCAAACGGGGGAAGGTGGAGGCCGGGGAAGGTGGATTCGCAGGCCATGTGCTTGCTGCACAAGCAAGAGGGTCTGAGTTTGGGCACCAGCGACCGCAGAAAAAGCCAAGTGCGGCGGTACCCTCCTACAATCCCAGCGCCGGGTGGGCTGGTCCAAGGGGCCAACCGGCCTAGCACCATCAGTGAGCTCCAGTGTCAGTGAGAGATGCTATCTCCAAGACTAAGGTGAAAAGCAACAGAAGAAGGCACCTGACATAGACCTCTGACCTACCTACACACAAGGACACAGACACACAGACACACACAGACACACACACACACACACACACACACACACACACACACACACACACACACACACACTGTGCTAGGACCCCTACATCGCCACGCCACAGACCATCTCCTCCCCTTCCCACATACGTTATAGAAAGCTGCACAAAAGCTTAAAGAACGCTCCAGAGTGTATTCTCCTAAGAGAGGTGGCTGGCCCCAGTCTCTGGCCTCTTAGGATCACAAAGCAGAAGGGACCGAGCAGGTGACTTCCGGCTGCCCTGCGGGGAGTGGTTGCCATAGGTTGCTGAGGAAGCGCCTCACACCTGAGTGCTGTTATTTACACTCACCTTCTCCACTTCCCCTGGGGCCTGACAGTAAGCACCCCCAGCCCTTCTCAGGACAGACTGTGTCCATCACTGTGTGTGAAGGGAGAAGAGCATTCCATGGTAAAGGGTGAGTCACACGATGGGGAGGAGCAGGGGCTGGGATGGGAAGGGGACGGGGTGGGGGGCTGATGGTTGCTCTATGAGCCCTTCTTTCCCTGTGGAGGCCTTGGAATGGGGCCCGGTTGCCGGGTCACAGCGTCCTCAGTTCCACAGGAGGCAGAGTGTTCACGAAGAGAACGGAAGGGGAAAGGCATGGCACCACGGCATTGGTCCTACAGAACACCTTCATGCCTAGAAGCGAGAGCCAGCTTCCCAGACCGGCTTGGCTTTCTTGCTCCTCCCCTGGAGGACGACATCCTTCGCTGGGGGAAGGCCATCCTTTGGGAAGGATGTTTGCAGTCACCCTGAGGCTGAGTACAGGTGGATGAGAGGTGGGTCCAGCCATTAGAGTTGCTGAAGCATGCCTGGACTGCTAGAGGGCTGCAGAGGATCTGATTTACCAGAAACTTCGTTCAAGAAGCACTTTGCAAGTGACTCATGGAATCCACTGTGAAAATTCCTGGAGGAGGTATGGTGGAGGTGTGGCTGGGTAGGGCTGAGCAGCAAAACACACACACACCCCTCCCCAGGGAGGGGACTGCCTCACAAAAGCCAAGTGGTGCAGTGACTGCCTCTCCAGGAGAGCGGAGATGTCCAAGTCTTAGCAGGGAGATGTCCAAGTCTTAGCAGGGCCCAGGTCTCAGCCGCACAACACGCCTCCAAAGCTGTTCTGGCTACCAGGCCCTCCGCCCCCTCTTTTGCACCCCCTCCAGCTGCCCGTCTAACAACACACTTACAGAGCTAGTGTACTAAGGTGTCCAGACGGTTGCCTGCCCAGGGTGCCCACATATTAGGGGTGAGTCAAGGGCTGGAACCCTTTCAGGGTCCGCCAAGCCAGCCTATTGCTGTGCAGGGCCGAGAGCCTCTCTGAAACAGCCTGCCTTTACCATTCCCACATTCCTAGGTGAGCCTGCACTGGAGAGTCTCCAGGGCATTGAGAGGCTGCCGCTCTCCAGAGCCAGCAAATTCTGGAGTCAAAGCACAGAGCACTCTTCCCCCAGGTGAGAGGAAGAAAAAGCCTCTGGAAAAGGAAACAGTGGCGTGAGCGCTGGCCCTGGGTGACCTGGGGACTGTACCACAGAATGGAAAGTGGCCTGCGCTCTGACTGCAGCCAGCACAGAACCATGGGGGTAAGGCAGCCTATTTATAGTCATGGTGACAGAGGACTGTCACCAGTGCCACCAGCCAGTGCCACCTGAAATGGGGTTGGGGGAACAGTGTACGCCCCTTAGTGGTTGTTGAGTGAACATCTCCTGCGTACTTGGTGCTACGCCATGAACGGCACGCACGTGCCCTCCCATTTAACGCCCACAGCAGCCCTTAAGGGAGGGACCAGCGCCCCCTTTGATGGAGCCATCAAAGCGCGGGCAACAAGGGGACTCACCCACAGTTACACCGGCCGTCAGCAGCAGCGTTTGACTCAGGCTGTCCCCTGAAAACACCTTTCAAAGTCTAGGATGGTGCGGCTCTCCGATCCTCGCCTCCCTTGCCATTTTGCTGGAGAGCTGCTGTCCAGCCCTGAAGGGAGAGGCTGCCGGCACCTCTTCCATGTGCTCACTGCCCTCTCGGAAAGCCAGGGCACACGGCTTGGTAGCCCGGACACACCAGATAGCAGCAACAGGGCCCACAGGCTGGCAAGCTCCAGGCCCCTCTCATCCCCTCTTCCCTGAGAGCTGACAGAGCTGACACCTCATCCAGCAGCTTGTGCAGCCACCACCCCCAATTCCAAACGGCCAGCACTTCTAGTAAGAAAAGATACCCGAATGACTTCACAGTGGGCAAGCAGCTGTGCCTTGCAGCAGACATCTGAGTATCAAAGGAGGAGGCTGTTATCCGGCTCCCATAGCATCTGCTCCCCAGCACAGAGCTGTACGGGTCCAGCTCAGCCTTCACTGGCCGTCTTTACTCTCCCTGACGTTCCAGCTGGCCAGCCCCCGGCCTCAGCAATCCAAAGTCAGTTCCACCTGGCTCTGGCAAGCATCAAACTACGGGTGTTCTACCACAGACATCCCCTCAATTATGTCTGCCTTGGGCTAGTGTTAACAGCGGTGTGCTGCCCCCGGACACTGCCCATCCAACAGCAGAAGGGCAGTTAAGCCTTGCCATCGGCAAACCAAAGAGCGGAGCCGAAAACGGATGGCCCGTGCTCAGTTCGGCTGCTGCTCCTTCCGCGAGCAATGTCAAGTCCATTCCGCAGACCCAGAGAAAACTCGGAGGAGAGATAGTCAAACACAGACCTTTGTGCCAAGCCCACTGCCCTGGTCCAGGGGCTAAACTCTGGATGACTCCCAGCTCAGATCCAAGGCTGAAAGGCTAGGCTAGCCGAGGGGGAACGGTGGCAGTCAGGGCCGCAGCCATGGGCAGAGTCCTTACCTTCCTCTCCGGGGGTGATGCGGCCAGCTGTTGTTGCTTGGCGATGTTCTCCGACAGGCACCGGCACACTCTCTTCTTCTGCTCCTGTGAGTGAGCCTCCAAAGTGAACAAGCACTCTGCCTTCTGACGTCAGGGAGAACAGAGACAGGAATGGGTGGTCAGGGCTGCTCCCTGACTCAAGGGGGCTCCAGGGCCCAAGCCCATCCCCGAGGCTCCAGAGGGCGAGGCTACATCAGGGAAGGGCGCATCGGTGAAGAACAACAAATGCACACCGATCCCTGGTGACGCTGGGGTGGCCAGAGGGCCGGGGAAGTAGGGCCATTTGGGAGCTACAAGGCCAAGGTTTGAGTAGGGGAGGGAGGCCGTGGCTCTCTATACAGTGGAAGCCTGTGCAGAGCTACAGGCCAGAGGGTGAGGTCACCCTTGGAGCAGGCAGCACAAGCCAGCAGCTGGGGATCACGTGGGGAAGCCAAAGGACCGAGCCCTTGAGCCAGTGCTCCGTGGATACAGCCCTCTGCCCCCTGCCCACAGAACCCCCTTCTCTCACGGCACCCTCTTCAAAGCACAGGCCAAGAAGGTTAGCTGGGTTGGATGAGCATGGCAACAGAGCTGGAGTCCCTTCGGAGAGTGTAGGATGGGCAGTCACAGGGCCCTCTAACACGGCCCAGCACCTGAGCTGGGTTTCTCATCAGCTGCTGTGCAGTATTAGTCGGGCTGTCATTTGAACCTTGCTGAATGACAAACACCTAGAAGGTCGTCTTCGTCTGGGCCTAGCACAGTGCCAGGTAAGCATTGGCCTTGGTAAGTGCCGGCTGCCTGGAAGAACTTCCATGATAACAACAGGGCAGCTTTGATATAGCACCAGACAGTCGGGCCCCTGAATCGGTCAGGACATGTAGCGAGTAGGGTGGGGTAGGTCCTAGAGCACAGGGTCCTTAGGGACCTGTTGTCCCCACCCCCAACCTGGTCCCCCACTAGGCACTGGGATCAGAAGATGACAAGTTCTTCTTCACCCCACTGGTGATAATACTCAACCAAGGAGCTAAGAGCATGAGCTGGGAGAGAAAGGCCATGTATCGACCCAGTCTCTCCATTTTGCAGACCTGGTTTGCATGCCAGCTTTGCCACTTCCTAGCTGCCAACCTCTGGAAAGTCAGATGCATTCTATAAAATAGTGGCATTGCCCCACCCCAGACCTATAAAGCAATAAGGACTTCCATGGGCCTTAGCACACAGCAGTACTGTTATTTCTCAGCATCCGACCTTCAGGGCGGGGACACCTCCCATCCTAAGTCCCTGGAGTGTTTACCATCCTCTCATGCTGCAACATACGGAGAAGCTTTCTTCCTAAAAGCATGAGGGAGAGGGAGCTGAGGGCATGAGCTGTGGTGAGCCTCTGCTTCCTCTTAAAGTCAGGCCTGTCCGCTTCCCAGACCACTCCTACCGGCTGCAGGGCAAACAAGCCTCAGCTTCCCCAGGGGGATGCCCAAGGAGCAGCGGGCCCTCTGCTTCCTGTCTTACGGTGTTCTGCTGAGTGGGAGGGACCAAGAAGGTCCTTTCCAGGTTGGAAAGGCCACTGCTCTATAAACAAGGCCCAGCCGGAGCCTCCCAGCCCAGCCAGCCCTTACCTTACCAAGTGGCTTCTGACTATCTTCCACCTAAGTTATCGACTTGATAATATAGTCTGTCATCTGCGATCTCATTTTGATCTGGGCAATTTCAAGAAGCAGAGAAGGTGTGGATTCTTTATTCTTATTTTACTTTTCTGGTGCTGGGGAGCAAACCCAAAGTCATGCACATGCTAGGCAAGCACTCTACTCCCAGGCCTTGATTTTTTGAGATAGAATCTCATGATCCTTTAGCTTAGGCTAGCCTGGAACTCACCATGCAGCCCAGGCTGCCCAGGAACACATGATCCTTTTGCTACCTCTGGACTATAGACACGTACTACTATGCCTAGCTGGGGTGTGGATTGTGATTCCCCTTTATGGACGGGGAAAACCAAGGTTCAGAATAGCCACAGGGTTCTCTGAGTCTTGAAGCCAATGAATCAGAGGAAACACTGAGCCAGGGAAAGCCACCTGCCGCGATTTCATCTCCATGCTCTGGAAGATGTCACCTCCCAGTGAGGCTTCTACACCTCTTGCTGGCAGGACTGCTCTGTCTCACAGCCCGGAGGCGACAGGAGTGTCATGCCATCAGAAGGAATTGTATGTAGGTCAGGGGGCTCTCTAGCTGTGTTTTTTTTTTTTTTTTGTACAACTGCTTACTCCTCTGGCATGGCAAATCTGTCCCTACATAGGCACAGGAAAGCCTCTTGGGAGCAGCCAGCATCCCTAATCTTGAATTGACTTCCACAGTACCATGCTCTTTACCAGCCCCATGTCTCGATATTTCTTCCAACAGCCTTCCGAGGGAGCAGCTGTGGTCACTCGGTTCTGCTGACACCCTCAAGAAACACTTCTTAGGAAGGCCTTGGGGTCCTTGCCTGGGTCAGCCACCAGGCCATTTGTAAAGATTGCATGATTCAGTAAGTCACTGCAGCCAGCAACTGAGCCCAGGGCCTCCCCCGGAATCACCTTCCAAGAGTGGTATCCCAGATCAGGGATCATGACCTTACTGTCTATCAGTCTCAGCAGCAGAGGACAAGACTGCATCTGACAGCTTGAAACTAAACCCTGCTACAATACTTGAGAGCTTAGAAGACTTCCTCGGCACCCGGGACCCAACCCCAGGTGGGGCTGTCTTAGTCTTAGATGGACAAACATTTTTGGAAGAAGCCTGAGTTTCGAAGACTGGCTTAGCCAAGAGAGAGAGCCAACTCCCTGAAGAGAGGCTAAATCCCTACCTGCCCAAATCTGTCCAAACTGTGAGTCCTCATTGCCTGCCCAGCTGGCCCCACATGTGAACCATCTGTCATAATTCTGTGTGTGCTCCAAATGACCCAATTAGTCGGTTTCAATTCTGACTTGCTCAGCGGCTTCAATAGCGGCGGACCCCAGGGTCAAGGCTGTAAGCCATCCCAAGGTACCCTCATGCTGTCCCCCGGAGGTACTGCCTTCTGACTGTGGGGTGCTTGGCCAAACACGGGCTTCTCAGCTGCATAGACCTGACCCCGCAGCACTAGGTGGGGGACCCCTGCACTTGACTGTGACCTCAGACCCAACCCGACTCCCAGCTCTTGTTGGTCTCTTTAAAACCCCCATCTTTCCTAACCTCCTTGCGTTAAACTGATTTTATCTTTGTCCAAACCCAAACAGCTCCAGCAGTAAGTAACCGAAGCCTGTTCATTTGCCATGACAAGCATGTTCCATCTCCTTCCCTCCTGATGGACCGAGGAGGCAGGGAGCAAGAAAGACACTGCCGCCACCATTTCTTTTTCTTTCTTTCTTTCTTTCTTTCTTTCTTTCTTTCTTTCTTTCTTTCTTTCTTTCTTTCTTTCTTTCTTTCTTTCTTTCTTTCTTTTTCTTTTTTTTTTTTTTTTTTTTTTTTTTTGTGAATAAGAATACTAAGACTCTGAGAGGCCGAATCTTAAGAAGATCCGGACTGACTTCAGAACCTGGGATCTTGCCAGGCCTGTAGAACCATGTAGGTGTGTTACCTGGGAAGTGAGATGGTCCACCTAGCTGTCCTTGTAAAAGATCATGAGTCAAACGGGGGGCAAAGGAACAGGAAAGGCCGTTCCTCCTGCTCTGATCTAATGACTGCGTAGCTGCCCCTCTCTGAGTATGCTGAGTGCTGGGCTCAGGGCTAAGTGTTTTAGATGCATTGTCTCATCTAGTCTCACTTAACGTTACAGCCCTGCAGGAGTGTGTAACCTGCCCCAGATCACTCAGGAAACGAACTGCAGAGCCAAGTTGCAAATCTAGGTCCTCCTCATTCCCAAAGCCAGCTCCTTCAATGAATGGAGGCAGCCCCACGCTGCAAAGGAGACAGAAAATGGTTCCCAAACAATGTGCCCATGCTCTGAAGCCAGCTGTGGGCTGCTGTCCCAGATTCGCAAGGACTGAGGGACACCTGTCCTTGGGATCAAGACTGCTTAGAGCAGGCCAGGAGCGGGGGCGCACCCCTTTAATCCCAGCACTCGGGAGACAGAGGCAGGTGGATCTCTAAGTTTGAGGCCACCCAGGTCTACATAGTGAGTTCTAGGACAGCCGGGGCTGCACATAGAAAGCCTGTCACAAAAAAAGAAAGGGGGAGGGGGGAAGGAAAGGAAAAAGACAAGAAAAAGAACAAAACAAAAGACTGCTTAAGGTAACCCTACCCAGGACCAAGCTGTTGTGCCCCAGGACAGTTATGGCTTTCTGAGTGTAGAGGGAGAAAACTCCTCTCAAAACCCCAGGTTTCTTCTTGGGGTACCACTTGCATATCAGGCAATGGAGAATAAACTTTTCAGTAGAAATTCTAACTAAGATTTGTCTACGGATCTCCATGCAGCCCAACACCACCTATGTCAAGAATGCTCAGGGCTTTCGAGCAGTGTGGCCCTCCCTACACCACGGGCTTGCCGCTCCTTAGTAGCAGCCCATTAAGGTGAGAGGCTCCCAGCTCCCAGCTGCCCGAGAGATGCTCTCTCCTGGTCCCTCAGGGGTCAGATCACCTGGTACATTCCGGAAACTGGAGGCCTCAGATCGATAGCCCTTCAGCAATCCTTAGAGAGCTAGAAAGGAGGTCTTAGAAGCAATGGGCAGAAGCGCCTTTCTCCAGGAAAGCAACAAGCCAACAGCCTGGCAGGAAGCTCTCTTGCTGTTAGAGAACCCGGATCCTCCTTTCAGAAGCTGGTGAAGCATACGGGAAGCCAGAGGGGCCAGAGGGCCCAGCCCGGGCCGGCATGTTTCTCCTGTCTGTTACTTGGCTCACTCGGCTCTGTGGGAGGGAACACCCTGCGGCGCTGAAGGGATTTTCCCAGCCACCCCTGGGCCTGGGCTGGGTTCTGGCTGACACGGGGTGGGGTGGGGGGGAACCCCACTGCCTGCAGGTCTACTTTCAGGCCTCTGAGTCCCCGGTTCTTCTATGACACCTTCTGCTGTCTCTTGGCAGCTCTGGGCAAGTCTCAAGTGAAGCTCTCAGTAACCTTTCTTGTCCCTGGGGTCTGTTCAGAGAGGTGCACCTCCTAGCCAGGAACGTAAGGAGCGCTTTGCAATCCCAAATGGCACAAACTCCTTCTCAGAAAGGTCTATGCCTCTCGGCCAGCCCTTTAGGTCATTCCCCATCCATAGAGACAGGTTCCCAGGACAGCTGGTAAGACACAAGGCGGCAGAGGGCAGGGGTGGGCCTGGCTTGGACAGATGCCACATGTCAGCAGAATGGGGCTAGGGACAGAAAGTTACACTGGAAACTGAAGAGAATTTGGCCCTCGGATTTTTCATCACCAAGGGCCTCTCTGGTTAAAGCCCTGCTTTGTCCACCAAACCACATGGAGCACAGAGCTGTTTGCTTGGTTCTGCTCCCCAAAGGTACAGCTGTCTGAGCCTACCCGAGCCTCTAATCAGAGATCATCAAGAGCGTTAGTTAGTGCCTCTCCTGGGGATCGCTCTGAGCCAAACACAGACGCATGGTGCTTGCTTTGGCCTGCGCTGTCTGGCCCACGTGAAGGTACAATTACCTGAGGCCTTTGAAAGGCTGACAAGCCTTTGTAGGAGGGAGATGGGTGGTACTTCCTGGAAAAACAGGGTGAAAGAGGCAGGCGTGGGAGCTGAACCTTCTCCAGAAAAAGGGCGAGTAAATAAATAAACAGAGTAGCGTGCTGCAGCTGTCGGGCCATGCCCTCGGGATGCCTACAGGTGCAGGGGACACCAGAGGTCCCAAGCAGGGTATCTCGGGGGCCATAGCTGCCCTTTGACACAGAGGTAAGCAGGGCTGGCTGTGTTCTACAGAGCAAGAAACTGTCCCTGACTGTCTTGGGTCGTTGCAAGATTACGTGGAGGCCAGCCTCAAGCCTAGTCCCGCCTCTTTCCTCAAGCACCAGATCACACTCAACTCTCCTCCAAATCGGAGAGAGGGACTCACCTCTGCCAGGTACAGCACACAGAATTTCAAGTCTTCTGAAGAACCTTTGGAGGGGACAGAAAGGAAGACTCGCGTTAGAATTGGCTACACGGTCAAAGTCTCGCTGAGCGCAGCTATCTCACCCAGAGACCGTGTGTGCTGACTCCCCGAATAAGAGGAAGGAGACGGCAGGTGTGAGGAGCAGAGCAGTCTCTAAAGCAAAGCCCACCTACTCACCCGTCCAAGCCACGCACAGTTGAAAGGCTCTGGCCTACAGGTCAGCCTGACCCGGGGAATGCTGGAACCCCATTCCCAGAAGGAGACCCTCTGACCTCTAATGGCCAAGTACAGGGAACTGTCTGTATCCCAGGAGGACTCCTCTTTCCCAGAACTCTGCCACAGAGGCAGCAGCACACTTCTGGGGTTTCTCTTCAACCAGTGGTCCTCAACCTTCCTAATGCCGCAACCCCTTAATACAGTTCCTTGTGTTGTGAGGACCCCCAACCATAAACTTTTGTTGCTGCTTTATAACTGTAATCTTGCTACTGTTAGGAATCATAATGTAAATATCTGATATGCAGGATATCTGATATGTGATCCATGCAAAAGGGCTATTCCTCCCCTGGGGGGTCAAGACCCACAGGTTGAGAACACTGCCTTAAACACTCTACCACTTTTACTATTTTGAACTTCAACAGGGAGCCATCTTGAGTAGGCCTTGTTGCTCACAAAGGGAAGCAGGGGTCAAGAAGGGACAGTCTCCAAGAATCCCGTCTCTAGGCATCCTGGGAGACAGCTTTTCCACAGGGCACTCGCTCAGGACGCCTCTGCCGGTCTAGGACGGCAAACTCAACCAGTTACAAAACTGGAAAGAGCAGGGAGGGGCAGTGGGCTGTCCCCTTCCCTTCTTGGGAAGAGTCTCACTTCTGAAGAACTCCAGATGGAAAGGAAGGGAGCTCTGGGAGGTGGGGACAGCTGGGAGGTGGGGGCGACAGTGTGGCATGGGGATGGACTTGTGCCAGGGAGCAGAGAAAAACAGGAGCGCCCCCCAGGACACCTGCCTGCTCACTTCAGCCTCTCCCGGGGACTCGGCCACACTCGCCACATCTGGACATAGGCCTGGGAGGGTGGGGAAGCCCCTGCACTTCCAGCTGTTGGCCTTACCAAGCAGGGTGTCATTTTTGAGGAAGGCAACTACCCAACACAAGCAGCAGCAAGCACTTGAAATGCCAGGGGCCCTGGAGTATCCCCGTGATTTGGGCCAACTGCTGCCCCAAATGCTTCCACCAGTCAGTTCAAGGGCTCAGAGTAGCTCTGTGGGAGAGGACTTGCTTCTGTATGCACTCCTGACAGCCAGGGGGCAGGGCTCCTAGCATCCCTGGCTCACGTGAGGACAGAGGGCCCAGGAGATGAAGTCACTCAGCAGCCAGGCAGTAAAGGGGAACTGTAGCCCCGTTCCACGGCTCACACTCAGCCACTACACAGCAAGCCTCTCAATGCCAGGTTCCAGGAGGACTCTCTTCAGTGCATACTTAAGGCAAAGAAACCATCAAACTAGACAGGGTCTGTCACGAAGAGAAGCCTACAAGGTCAAACCGGAATGCACATCAAACCAAGCTCTAAAAGTGCAGGGAGTAGAGATCCAACCAGGGGAAACCAGACCTCCTCAAGCAAGAGCGTGGACATGCCCCAAGGGGCAGGAGCCCCCAGGCAGAGTCAGGGGAAAAAATGTCCCATAAGTAAATGGAGGTTCACTCTGGACTTGGACTAAATCTTTCTACTTTTCCCCACTTGGAGACAGGTTGAAGAGGGAGCCAGCCCTGCCTCGGAAATCTATAGTGTTTAAGAAACTGGATCCCATCCCCTAACTCCTAGAGAACATAAGGGAACGGGACAGTTGAGCTGGAACAGGGAGGGAGTGGGAAAGCAATGAGAGAGATACCATGATGGAGGGAGACATCATGGGGATAGGGAGGAACTGGGTGCTAGGGAAGTTCCCAGGAATCCCCAAGGATGACCCTAGCCTGGGCTACTAGCAATAGTGGAGAGGGTGCCTGAACTGAACTGGCTTGCCCCAGTAATCAGACCAGTGAACACCCTAACTGTCACCACAGAGCTTCTCTCCAGTAATTGATGGAAGCAGATACAGAGATCCACAGCTAAACACCAGGCAGAGCTCCAGGAGTCCAGTCAAAGAGAGAGAAGAGGGATTCTATGCGCAAGGGGCATCAGGATCATGATGGGGAAACCTGCAGAGACAATCGAACCAAACTAGTGGGAACTCATGAAAGTTGGATCAATGGCTATGGAGCCTGCATGGGAATGGACCAGGCCCTATGCATGGCCAGACAGTTGTGTAGCTTGATCTGCATGGAAGGCCCCCGGGCGGTAGGATCAGAACCCATCCCTGGTGCATGAGCAGGCTTTTGGAGCCCACTGCCTATGATGGGACACCTCGTGCAGCCTTGGGGCAGGGGGAAGGGCTTGGACTTGCCTCTACTGGATGTGCCTCCCCATGGGAGGCCTTGCCTTCTTGAGTGGGGAGGAGTTGGGAGGAGGAGGCTGGGGGCGGGAGGAGGGAAGAGGGGGATCTTTGATTGGTATGTAAAATGAATGAAAAAAATTTTAATTAAAAAAGGGCAAAAAAAGAAACTGGATCCCAATGCCTCTGTGGATTCCTTGTGTTGGTGAGACAGAGACAAGGGGAGGGGGTTCTTCTGCTTAGGAAAACATACTGAAACGTTTCCTAGCAGACCCTAGTCTAAAGGAGAGCCACTACCATCCGTGTAAGAAAGTAACAGAAACCTGGGATTGGGGAGCAGGCAACTAGAGGAGAGGAGGATCTAGAAGTACCGAGTGGGACTAAGGACAAGAGACTTGGGGGGGCGGGAGCCGAGGTTGGAGAAGCACACTGTCAGACAGTCCCCGTGTCCGGAGCCACTGATGAATGACAGCTTCTCTGTGCTCTGACACGAGCCCCGCCCCCTCCAACATGGCCGTGCCGCTGCAAACTCTCCCTGGCATCCGTTCCTCCGCATCACACCCTTGTGCCGGCTGCGGCAGGACAGCAGGGATGGAAGGGGAGCCGTGCTCGGGCGTGACTCAGAGCCTCATCAAAGAACAACGACGAACTGGGGGAGCCGAGGGTGCCAAGGAGGAGTGTCTGCAGCTCTGGAGAAGACTGCAGAGGGAACCCCTGCCCTGCGCGAAGAGAGGGACGCCGAGACAGCGTACGTGGGGGTTCTCCTTGAACCACACTCACTGCCTCTGCCATTTTGGAATCCATCAGGGAGTCTTTAGTTCCAGGGTGGGCCTTATTTCCCACTATGTAATGCATAGACCATGCCGCCGCCGCCGCCGCTGCCGCCGCCGGAGGTTCCCTAGTCATGGGCTAGGTGGAGGCCAGAGAAGGCTTCCCCGCCCGGGGTCTCCCCATCCATCATTTACCCAGAGAACAACTTACTGGTGGTTTGAGATTCACCCCACCTTCTCCACTGGTAGAGGCAGACCCAGAGAACTCTAGTCTGCATTCTCCACATACAAAGGCAGGGCCAGGGAGGCACAGCAAACTTCATAGACAGTAAGCGTCAGAGCTGAGATCTGAATCCAGGGCTCCTAATCAATCTATATCACAGGTCTGTGATTCCAGCCGGCCAGGAGCTCCAGAGTGGAGAGGCCTCTTCCACAGCTCTCACTGCGGTGGCCAGAACTGAGGTAGCCATGGAGGACACCTTAGAAAGTGTCAAGCAAGCATTCCAGCAGCTGGAGCTGAGGCAGCTGAGTTTCCACTCTGGGATCCCGGCTCCCCAATGTGCCTGGAGAGCCCATGAGTCAGATAGACATTTCCAGGTCATGTCTAAGAACAGGCAAGGCCAGAAAGACACACCGTGGGCGTGATGCTGGCTGCCAGGGAGGCAGAAACACAAAGAGCAGAGAAACCAGCAGGCAGCCGTGGCAGGAAAAGACCACAATGGGCCCCCCGGCTGACCGGAGATGTCCCGATTGTTAGCACCAGCTCTCCGCCCGTTCCCATCGCGCGGCCATTCAGTCCTGATGAACCTTGGGAGCCGCTGACAGGAGGAGGCAGTCACCATAGGAGTGACCTCGAATCTGGAGCTCTGGGGGAGGAGGCACCCCAGCTGCCAAGCTAAGGCAGCACTCTGGTCTCCTCTTAGCCATTCATTGTTTACAAAAACAAGCATCCGTTGGCCACCTAATGCATGCATGCCATGCTCCCTACTGAGTCCTAGGAATACGGCTGAGTGGAGCCCGGGGCCCTAGCAAACAAGTCACAAGAGAGTCCTTGGTCCCAGGAATGGGGTGGATTCTGCCCTGCCGGGGAACAGCACTTGCCAGCCCCAGCCTGCCAAGCTGGATGCCTTTTTGTTTTTAATAACTTCTTGACCCCCCCTCCAACACTGAACTCTGCAAACACACCGACTTGAAAGTGAGATGAAACCTAGGAGTCTCACGCCCTGGTTAGTTAGAGACGGTTCTGCCACCAGACACTCCAGCTAACAAACCCCAAAGGACCTCTGAAAAGCCTTACTTGCTGTAGCAGTGGCCTCCGGGGCTTGTGGGAGGGGCCAGGAAACGGCACCAGCCTCGGAACATTGGGGCCCCACAGCTCTGACTCAGGCCCTGCCCAAAGGGGCCACTGGACTTCGGTAGAACAAGGAACGAACCTATCTCAGGGAAGCTGGAGGGTCGGGGGTCTACAAAGGCTCCACTTGATGCCCGGAAAGAAATCTGAGCCCTAGATCCTGCACCTTGAGTGCCCCTGCCAATTAGCCTCTTCCTTCCATCTCAGCCGCTCCAGGGTTCTCAGAGGTCACTCGCAAACCCCCTCAGGCCTGTGGTCTCCCCAGGAAATCCAGTACAGGTCCACGTCTCCATACCACCCCCACAGGCTCTCGTGTCCATGGCCACCTTGTCTGAGATGTGCTGCCTGGGTCACTTACCCTTAGCTCTCATGTAGGTGACCCCCAGCTTTCATGAAGCTGACCCATCGTCTACCGGCAGACGCGGTCTCAGCCCCAGGCCCCATCTGCAAGCGGCTGAGTCTCTGGGGAGCTCCTCTGCACCTCTAGGCTCTTACCACCCACCATGAACATCACTGCCTGGTAGAGGAGAGTGTGTCTAAACCTCTCAAACTTCAAGTCCAGGCCCTAGGGCTCCCGGAAGGGAAACCCAGCCAGCGCTAACCTCTACACCCCAGTCTGGAAGCAGGGTGATGTGAATACTGGTCAAGTTCTCTCAGGAGCCCCGGGGGTTCCATCCAAGGGGTGTCAGAGACAGGAGGGAACTCAAAGGGCTGACTGAATCCTTACTTCACAGGGAAACCAGGAAGGGGAAAAAGGAAAAGGCCCACAGAGGTTACAAGCATATTGTTACAGCGGTGAACCTATGTCTGAGCCCCCAATCCTACGGCCACTGCTCTCTCTACCCTCTACCCTAGATCCACCCAAAAGGCAGCCACCTGAAACAGACCTCCCCCTAATTCTTTCCCTCCTTCCACTTAGCAGGAAGCTGAGCCAGTGGGGGGGTTGGGCTTTGTGTCCCTGGACCTCCAGTGTGCACAGCAGTCAGGGTTCAGGTCCTGGGGCACCTAGTGCATGGTACTGAGCACTGCTCTGCTGGGTGCTCATACAGTTTAACCAGGTCCCAGAGCAGCTGAGCTGGGCGGGGGGGGGGGGGCAGGGAAGCCAGGCTGACTGTAGAAAGCACGTTGTGTGAGTGTGTGATGTTGTGTGAGTGTGTGATGTTGTGTGAGTGTGTGAGCGCAGGGGAAGGTGGGAGGGTAGCAGGAAGCCAAGCTCAGATTCACTGGAGGGCAGAGAGGAACCATCTGGAATGCCAGAGCCAGTGCCCAAGAAGCTGAGAGGCCTGCTCTTCCTACAGCCCCATCAGCTGGCCCTGAGGGTGGGGTCTTGCTCTCCCCTTAGCGGCCCCCCTTTGCTCTCCTGTCAGTAGCCACCCTAGCCCCTGAGCAGGACAGAGCTAGAGAGGGAGGGCCGTGAAGGGCTTCCCATGGGGAGGCCAGTTCCCAAGGAGGCCAGGGCACCAAGTACACAGGACGGCTTTGCAAGCAGTCAGGAAGTTCTGGAGCGAAACCCGCCAGAACAGAATTCTTTCGCAGCTAACATTTTTTCCTCCGGTGCCCCTGCTGCCCTGGGCTCACACAGGTCTGTTGTTGTTTGCATAATCTGGGAGAGGAAACCGAGCCCCTTTGGGCTGAGACCTCAGGCGCCAAAGCCCGCCGCTGGACAGATACTCCCAGCCGGCTTTCCGTTCCCTGGTCCCCGGTGGGCCAGGGCGCCATGGAAAGTTTTGGATTAGAAATTCCCAGCTTGCTGCTGATGTTCAGGCATGCTCCAGCTTCCTAAGACTCTGAGCAGGCCCGCACAGCTGGCTAAAAAGGGGAGTGTCCACAGACCACTGTCAAGAAACCTCTTTGGGAAACCTGCTTAGAGCAAGGCACTTTACAGAAATGACCTCACTTAACCCAACAACCTTCTGAAGTTTGCGCTTTACAGGAAACGGGCTCAGAGAAGTTAAGTCACTTTCCCAAGGCCACCCCGAACCGAGGGGCTTAACACAGGTCTCAGAGTCCAAAGCTCTCTCTACCCTTCTCCTTGGAAGCTCCCTGGGATAGACACCTCCTACAGAGATCAAGGTATAGCAGAAGGCTTGTGGGCCTGGGGTACGACACCTGACAATCTGCCAGCCCCGGGCAGACCCGACAGCGCCCCACTGAAACTGGCAGCCAAGTCTCTAGAGAGTCCCCAGCTGGACATCATGCTGCTCCTGGGGTGTCCAGGCCCTTTTTTACCTTCCTGTAGCTTCACACTCTGGAGGTAGAGGGGATTTCTCAGGACGTCACAGCGGCCTGGCTCGTCCTCCTTAGTGAAGAGCAGCAGGTCCGAGTAGGCAAACAGTGTCACCTGTTCAGGGAAAGAGAAACAAACACAACTGTCCGCTTTGCTGTCCCCCCGGGATGCAGGGAGCCACAAGGTCCATTGGAGGTCCAGGAAACACACCCGTGCTGTGTCGGGGAGAACCAGAAGTGTGACCCCCACCCACGACAGAGGCCTGCCTTGCAGTGGAGGGGTGGACAGTTTGTCCCTTAGTTTTCTAGACTTCCCCCCACTCGAAGTAGAAAAAACAAAACAAAACAGAAGAAGCAATGGTTCTTGCCTTCATAGTGGGCAGCTCTGCTGGCCTCTCTATAGCCATAGTCCCCCAGGCTCACCTAACCTGGAAGAGCCTCACTCGGGCCCCACCCCACATCTGACTCCTTCAGGCTTCTTCTACAAGCCCTCTGGAATGCGAGGGGAAGCATCACCAAGCAACATTACCAAATTTCTAGCAGATATTTTTGCAGTGTACCAATGTTCAAGAAAACAGCAGTTACTTGCATTCTGATACAGGCTTCTACAGAACTGCTAATCTCCTTTATGCTCCAAAAACAAAGGAAAGGCTATTTTTAAACATTACAGGTAAACTGACAGATGTGCTCAGCATGTTTTTATGCTCAAAAGAAAAATCCACCTGGTTCTCTGTGTCCATTAAGGTTTATACTGTTCTTTCCTTTGTCTGCCCTACAGTAGCCTTTCCTTAAAGCCATAAAGTCCAATTTCAGATTCTATAGTAATAATAATAATAATAATAATAATAAATCATTAATTATGAAAATTCCTCTTTGAGGGGCCGAATCTGACATGCCATCTCTTCTGAAGCAAGAAGAACCAGCCAGAAGGGCTTGGTACATCTTGAAGGGCACAGTGAGTATGTGATTTATTACCCGTGTTTAAAAAGCCAGCATGCTGACATTTAGCGAGCAAGCTGTTAAAGGTGATCCCACAGTCCCACCTCTGAGGCTTTCCTACAGAAATACAAGAATATATAAACATGAACATGTAAGGACGTTCTCAGCGGCACTTCTGTAATTAAAAAAAAAAAAAAGCCGGCCATGGTTGTATACATGTACAATCCCAGCAGTCTGGTAGCTGAGCAAGAGAATTGAGAGTTACAGGCTATCACAGGGTACACCACGAGCTCTGAGCTAACCTGGGTTATGTGGTGGGAGCTTGTATTCATTATGTATGTATTCATACAAACATAAATACATATACACATGCATATGTAAGATGGCCGACCTGCCATCTTGAGCGCCATGCAAACAGAGAAGCTGGAAGAAATTAGGACCACAGAGACAATTCAGGGATGTTCTTAAGTAGGCTATCTCAGGGCTATGTCCCCTTCCAAGAAGTCCCAAACACAAAAGCTCTAGAATTCTTGGCTAGAAGGGCTCTTAATAATGGGCCCTGCCCAGCCCAGTCTCCATACGGCATCCCAGCTGCTGAGCCTGCTCGCCCTGTAAGTAACTCCTTCAACGGTGTTATCGCCCTTTCCAGCTCAGACAGGTGATGTGATGCCCCACAGCCCCACAGCTAGGGATCATTCCACAGGCCTGCCTGTTCCTAAGGTTCACATTAGACAGAGAGGTGGTGGTGTACCCACAGCAGACGAGACAAGGAATTCAGTGAGTGTGGGAAGGAAAATGATGGAATGCTCAGGAGAATGACGTAAGGGACTGTCTGAGGAGGGGCCTGCAAAGTCAAGGAGCTGCTGTCCTAGGCAAACCCACACGTTACCACAAAAGCATGACCCCCCCCCCCCAATCAGGGAAGGTCTGGCTGTTACTTCCAGACGCATAGGGAAGTTGGCAGGAGAAAGGTTGGAAGAGGAAGTCTGTGAGCCTGGAAAATGAAGGGGGCGGGGAAGGCATGGCCCCCCCACTATAGAAGACTCGTGGGAGGAGCCACAAGTAGGTGAGAAAAGCCCCAGACCACGGTCCCAGCCTGGTTCCCAGAGCTGAGAATATGGTCTAGACAGGAAGTGATTAAGGCATGAGAGAAAATTTCCCCCAAAGGTCGGTCAGGCAAAGGCCAGGGCTGGCACAGGCCTGGAGGCAAGGCAGACGGCAAGAATGCCAGAGCAAAGCCTGTGAGCCCAGCTCCCCAGCATCTCATAGGCAGGAGTCTCACTGTTCATGAAGAAGTGACCCCCATCTCCACAGCCCAGTTACCTGATGCCTTCCACCACTGGACCCGGGGCCTTTCGAGTCTTTCTCTCACTGGTTTCTAGGACACAGGTATTTCCCAGAGTTTCAAGACAGTCACAGAACCCTTACAACTCCAGGGTGACTTCTTCCAAGTGGCCTAACCAAAGCCTTCTCCTGGGAACCAGGCCATGAGGCCATTAACTAAAGGACCCTAAGAACCTTGGTGCTTTAGTTAATGGTAAACCTGATGAGTCAGTGTGAAAGTGAGGGTGTGATATCTTGGGCTTCATAGTGTTCCTGGGACCTAGCCAAGAATCCTCAATGACCAGAGCTGTTGTCAGGATGTATGTATAAGAGGCTGCCATGAGCTTGACGTTGCGGTACATGCCATTAATTCCAGCACTTGGGAGGCAGAGGCAGACAGATCTCTGAGTTCGAGGCCAGCCTGGTCTACAAAGCAAGTTCTGGGACAGCCAGGGCTACACAGAGAAAGCCTGTCTTGAAAAACAAAAACAACACACAAACAAAAAGGCCACCACAAAATGCCACTTTGATCTGGATATGCACCCAGCAAATTTGTGACTTCTGGATGGGAGGGGCGGAGCGGTTTGTGCTAACATGAGCATGCTCAGAGAAGAGCTGCTGCAGGGAGTGGGGGAGGGGGAGGGGATGGGGTGCACCTTCAAGGAATGCAGAGCTCCCAACTACTTAGCGCTTTCCAGTTAACGACTCCACTGTGCAGAGAGGCCGCCGTGCTCATTCGGAAACCACTTTGGGAAAAGTTATTCCCTGGAGAGTGACACAGAAGTAACTAGAATCTGTGACTCCTGGGGGCTCCAGGGTGCTAAAGCTCTCAGGAGCTACCCAACGCCCAGGACAGCGGCTTTCCATTTTCAGTTTGAGGAACATGAGATGAGATCAAAGCACTCCTGTGTGGCTGCGATCTTACTTCGAGGAGAATGGATGCACTTAATTTTCTTGTCCTCAAACCACCTCCTTCGATCTTTTAGTTCTCAGCCTCCAAAGATGCAGAGGCAAGGATTTGTGTGTGTGTGTCTGTGTGTGTGTGTGTCTGTGTGTGTGTGTGTGTGTGTGTGTGTGTGTGTGTGTGTGTGTGTGTGTGTCTGTGTACGTTTGTTGGGGGTGGTAGTGAAATGTTATTACAGTTTGGCTTTTGTTCCTTTGTCTTTAAAAAACATACCCAAAGCATCAGGGATCAGGGAAAGCATTACCCAACCAGAGAACCAAGCACTAATCCTTGCTCCATTCTCTACCAGCCTTGAGACTCTTGGATCGGGTCACAGGAGCCTCAGTTTCTTCATCGTGCTTCTCCTCTCCTGGGGTGAGGGGGCTGCAGGATGATTGGGATCCTGCCTGTAGCATGCATGAGCAGTGAGGATATACAGTAAGTGCCTAATGTTTGTGGATTTAATGGTGAACATGACAGGAAAGAGTATATTCCAGGTGGCTGCTGTCCCTAACTGGCTTCTTCTGGGTCCACTAAACATGCAGTCACAACTCTCCAGTTCTGACCCTGAACACCTTACCTGCAACACACACACACACACACACACACACACACACACACACACACACACACGTATGCACGAAACCCAGCCCCAAGGGACTTTTCGCTCTTACAACCTAGATCCCATCTCTCGTTGGAATTTCTCTCCCACTGGAACAAGTGGGAGGTAGATAGGCTGAACTCTCTTATAAAGCTCTCCAAAGAGAGGTCCAGGAGTGATGTCAGTAACCCCAGGGGTGCAGGAGCTAAGCTCTGTGCGGGCAGTAAGCGGAAGGGGCTCTCTAAAGGCTGCGGGGTGCTCACCTATGCCACGGTGGACACACAGACTGGGGATGCAAGAAAGGTTAAGAGTTAAATCGGTGGCCAGGGCTTGTGGTTGGGTATGAGATAAATGAAGCCGGCCACACAAGAGGAGAGATGGGGCTCTGGGCCAGTTATGGCAGGCTGCTGGCTCCAGGAGCCCCTTAGAACCTATATAAGAAGCCATTGTTCTTCCATGTGTCCTTGATTCTAAGGCAGCTGACTGTGACAGACTAAATTGTAAGCCTGGATGGCTTCTAACAAGAAGCTTCCTCCTAGGAGACACTCTAGGCGACCCCATAAACAAGGAAGTAACCACACAAGACTGTAACTTGGTGGCTGGGATAGAGTTAACACCCTTTGCCATGGTAAAGCCGCAAGCTGATCCTGTAAATAAGAGAAGCTTAGCATGGTTAGCAGCCCTTGAGACGCCTGCAAGGTTGGAAAGTAGCTGGCCAAGTCAAGTGACCAAGGACTCAGAGAGCTGAGGTCAAAGCTAAAGTCAGAGGTAAACAGAGCGGGGCTTCAATCACCCATAACTGGGTGGGCGTGTGAGCGGAACGCCACTGTCCATCTCCCTGGTCGGACGAGAGGACAGTCATAGATAGAGTGTGTGGTCTCTCCATTGGCTTGTCCCATGACAGCCCAGAGAATTAACCAACCTCAACAGAGACTACGCTGGCTTTTTGTCAAGTTTTCTGCCACTGTTCCATAAAACCTAAACGAAGGAAAGACAACAGATTTTTCTTCCCTGGGACACTCTCTCTCTCTCTCTCTCTCTCTCTCTCTCTCTCTCTCTCTCTCTCTCTCTCTCAGGAATTTAGGTTCCTTTTCCTCAATTTTTCACTGTTCTATAATCTTTCTTAGTAAAGCTTACATTCTGCTCTCCATACTTTGAAGAGTTGGCGTCCATTAACTTTCTTTGGTCTAAGACAACAAACAGAACTACTGACCCAGGTCAATCTTCAATGATTGATTGCTCCAGCATCTTACTCCCTTGGGTCATGCACAGTGAGACTTCGAAGGGTCCTATCACACTCAAAAATCACAAATCATCAGCATGGGAGAGACAAGCACACAGTCTCCCCAGGCAGCTCCCGTGAAAGAGATAGTACTCGGTTTGGAACATAGGTGTTCCGATCTGCTTGCTTACAACAAAACAAGAGCCAAGCCAACTTCCTGTGTTAGTGCCAGTCACACAGAGTGCCCAGGACCCTGAGGCTGCAAGGGGCCAGCCTCAGACCCTGCCCTCTGCCTCAGACGTGCACAAACCCATTACTCAGATGGAAAGAACTGATGGGGAAGGCAGAAGTCACCAGAAGCCAGGAACAGAGCTGGGGCCAGATCTAGACTTCCTGCCTCAGAGCTTCCTGATCTTTCCACAGATCCAAGCAGCCATTCATCCTGGATCTGCATCAGCTCTGCATCGGGCCTGAGCAGCAGCCAGCGCTCTGCCCTCACCCCAGGACCTCCTGGTAGCACAGCCAGATCCCAGGGCTCCAACGCCTCTTAAACTGTTTCCATCCCAGGACTGAGCTGGGACCTGGCCAACTGTGAGGGTGAGGGAGGTTCTCCTAGCTAGAGATAGGCTGGCTCCCAGGAAGAATGACACAGGCCCTACCCCTGACCTCTGCTCACAGGGCTGGAGCTGGGGGTGAGGGGCTATGAGGGGTACCAATAGGCTGAGCTTTGAGAAGGGGGTCTGGGGTTGGGTTCATACAGAAAACCTCCAACGTTCTTCTAATAGCTCTCTTTGGCTAGTAACTTTAATCTTCCGGGCACTTCTCTCAGCTGGGGTAAACGGTCCTCTTTCTCCTCCGTAGAGGAGTCCAGGATAAACAGTGAGGTGTCTTTAGGGGCTAGAGGTACGTTTTGACCATATCAGTGACCAACCCTCAGAGGCAGTGAGATCATCACAGTAACCAGTGGGCAAGCAAAAGCTGGGTGACCACTTGGTAAGGCTTTTGGAACAAGTTTCAGGTCTCCACCCTGAGGTTGTAGAGAGAAAATGAGGGGCCTAATGAATGGGCAAGGAAGTCCAGCGGGAAAGCCAGCCAGGCTGGGCGCGTCTTACCTGGGAAGCCTTGTTCCTGCCCTCATACAGCAGCAGCTCCTCAGACAGCAGGAGAGTCCGGGCGGGGTTACAGAGATCTAGGGGCTGAAAACCAATCACGCTGAGTGGGAGTGCAAGGGGCAGCTTGCCAAAGCCAGATCAGAGAACTCTCTTGCAGAGGGAGAAGACAAGACTGCCCGCCCCCCTCCTCCTGCCCCTGACCCCACGCACCCCTCACACCCACCATGGAAACAGAAAGACTCTGCTCCAGCCCCGCGCAGCCAGGCCTGACCAAAAGAGCTGCTCTCTCTACAGGAAGTTCAGCCACAAGCTCAGAGCCTCTGCAGACCTCCCCTGATGCCCGCCCCCACACCAGGCTCCGAGGCCCTCCCAGCCCTCCTCTGTCCTCTGTATGCCTCACAGGAAAGTCTCCACTGTCGGGCCCAGGAGGGATCTTGAGGGCCCTATGCCAAGAGACTTGGCCACTCCAGTCTCTTCAAGGCCAAGTGGGTCCCTCCCTGCCCTGCTCAGGTCCCAAGCTGAGCAAACTGACTCCTTCACCTTCGTCCAGTTTCCCCAGCAGCCAATTCCCACTCAGACCCCTCATCCCACCACCGTGTCCAGCCTAGCTCGGAGAGCACACCCCGACCCACTCAGACCCCTCATCCCACCACCCTGTCCAGCCTAGCTCGGAGAGACACCCCGACGCTGGCTGACCACCCGGAAGCACCTGAGAATGTATGTTTATCGCATGACCCCAGAGTCCCTTGACCTCAAGCAAGGGGCTGTAGAAAGATAATGAGACAAGTACCAACTGTGCACTCCAGCAGGGGCGGGGCTTCAAAAAGGGGCTAAATGAGACCGCTCAGGGATTCAGGAACAGACGAGAAAACTGATGGAAAGCAAAGCAAGTCCGGTCAGCAAGCCAGGCGGGTGGGGTGGGGGTGGGGGTGGGGTGGTCACTGGTGGGAAGGGAGCGCTCCACAGTAAGGAAGGGGCGAGACGGCTCCTGAATGGACAGCTGCTGGCTGCTCTTTTGTCTTGATAGGTATTCATTCTCCAGTTCTTTGTTTTGCACGTGTAAGTGTTATGCCATTTTTAAAAATCTTGATTATTTCTTTTTCTTTTTTCTTTTCTATGTATTTATTTATTTATTTGAGACAGGGTCTCTCTGTGTAGTTCTGGCTGTTCTGGAACTCCCTCTGTAGACCAGGCTGGCCTCAACTCACAGAGATTCGCCTGCCTCTGCCTCCCAAGTGCTGGGACTAAAGGTGTGCGCCACCACCGCCCAACTTGAATACCCCACAATTTAAACATTTTCAGTTTTTATAATTCTAAAAACTAATTTAAACTGGGTGTGGTGGTGTGTGGTGGCGCACGCCTTTAAGCCCAGCACTCAGGAGGCAGAGACAAGTGGATCTTTGTGAATTCGAGGTGAACCTGGTCTACATAGTGAGGTCCAGAAGAGTCAGGGCTCCATAGAGACCCTCTCTCAAAAAACAACAAACAAAACTCTAAACCTAATTTAAATTTAAAAAATTGTACTATATTTATTTATGTGTGTATGCACATACACACATAGGTATATGTGGGAGCAGGCACACACACACACACACACACACACACGTACATGTGGAGCAGGCACAGCACAGGTATGGAAGTAAAAGGAGAACTTGTAGAAGTCGGTTCTTTCCTTTCACCACGTGGGTCCCAGGGATCAAACTCAGGTTGTCAGGCTTGGCAATGGGCACCTGCCCGGACAGGGCCAGCTGGTTAGCCTTAATTTGTAACAAAAATTAAGACAAAACCAAAAATAACCAGGCAGGCGATATGCATCTTTAATTCCAGTCCTCGGGATACTGGGGAGGGGGGGGGGGCGGGGATGGTGAGTTCGGCCACCCTGAGCTACATAGTGAACGCCTGTCGAAAGAGCCAAGGGTTGTGGGTCCGGCTCGGTGGCAGTGCGGGACAACAGGAACAAAGCCGTGAGCGTGGTCCCCAGCCCGACAAGGCAAGGGAGGGAGCAACGTGGCAGGAAAGAAGAGCTTTTTATATTTAAAATGTTCATGGAAGCGACATCCGAATGAGAGCACCACCGAAGACTTGAGAGGAAAGACACACAGTGCATTTTCAATCCCTAGTCACCAGCTGCCTAAGCTGCTTCCAATTCCTCGGTATGGTGACGACAGCAGCAATAAACAAAACACACATGTGCAAGGATCTCTGTCTAGGATAGAGAGCCCTTTGGACATGTGTTCAGAAGTGGTATGGGTAGGTCATATGGTAATTATGTGTCAATTTTAAAAAATCCTCATGTTGAAAATGTGGTATATATGTGCAATGAATTTTATTCAGACACTTAAAAAATGACATTACAGTATTTGCAGGAAAATGGACAGATCTAGAAAACATATTAAGTGAGCTAGTCCAAACTGAGAAAGACAAATAGAGTACATGCTTTCTCATATGCGGAATCGAACTTCAAATGCTTTTGTTATATATACACATGTGGGTGTAGGTGTGGGTCACATAACCAGAAAAGGAACCACAAGAGGGGAAAAGAGCTGCTGAGGAAAGAGGGGAACAGAACATGCAGGGCATGGAGGTGGGAAAGAGGTTACGACGGCAGGAAAGTATTGGGGGTCAGGGTGTGGGAGGAGAGGATCGGGGAAGGACAGAGAAAAACAAATTGTGTTTGAAAACGCCATAATGGAACCCAAGACTTTGTAAGCTGGCAAAGTCAGGACAGGAAGAGGGAAAGAAGGAGAGACATGGAGAAGTGAGAGGGGAAAGGGAAGAGGTGTGTGACTCCTGCGTGGCGGATTGCTGGCCGGACGTGTGTGTGCCTGAGCAAGGCGACCAGCCACAGAAGCTCTCCCTCAGTCCGTTTCAAACATTAACTCCCGTGGATGAGGCCGCCGATGGCACTGGCTGACTTTGCGTCACCCCTTTCCCAGCCCCAGAGGATGAGGAGGCTGGGAGGAAAAGAGGGGGCTCCCTCATGGGCTTCCCTGATCATCTCCACAATACGAAGCCAGTTCTCTGTCCCCAAAGGGAGCCCTGGATCCTCAATGAGGCGCCGCCCTCAGTTCTGGAACCAAGGCCCCTGCCTGTCCTCACTTCCTCCCGAGAGAACCCTGGGGCATGCCACAGGCTCACCTGCACAAAAACAGGGAACACCAGGACTTTGGGGGCCAGCGTGACGTAGGTGCCATAGCTCGAGTGTGGGACATGTGGTCTCAGGGCCGAGCAATCTTGGTAGTTGCTGTGGCTCTTCATGGTCTGCACTGTCTTCATCAGCCGGGACTTCTTGCCCAGGCCGGTGTACGATTTCCCTTTAGTGGTTGTCCCTGGTTCTGTGGAGCAGAGGTGGGAGACAGAGAGTCACTTCCATCATCCCTCAAAGGACCACCACCCCCCGCACCCGTAAGAATAAGAAACAAGATCCAGTCAGTGAACCCAGTCCAGCTGGTCTCAGCCTTAGCCTCAAGGAATACAGAGAGAGAGAGAGAGAGAGAGAGAGAGAGAGAGAGAGAGAGAGAGAGAGAGAGAGAGAGAGAACTCCAGAGCTAGGAGGGAGCCACTAGCCCACACTGTGACAGGGGGAGTTACACCCCCCTCCCCCCAGTGACCCAGGCACCAAAACAAACCTATCTATTTATCAGCTTTGCACTTTTGAAAACCAAGAAATTGTCTAGGCACACGCCAAGAACCCCAGAATCCAGGAACCTGGAGCAGAAGAACCCAAAGACCAGGCAGCCTAGGCTGTATGACAAGATGCACAGCAAGGCTGTATAATCCCATCTCAAAAAAAAAAACAAAACCACAGTGCCACGAATATCAAGGAATTGCTCAGGCCTGACGGCACTGATCCTGGAGTCACACATGGAACATGAATCAGAGCTGGCTTCACAAGCATGCATGGGCACCCACTCACCCTCCTGCTACCATCCCAACCCAGACCTCCTGCTCATCACCTCCCAGGCTCTGTGGACAGAGGTCTGTTCCCTGCAGCAGGGACAGAGACAGTATGCTTTGCCCATGGACCTCGGGGTCCACACCTAGCACTAGCCAAGGTAGCAGGAGCCCACCTGGCCACCACCATCAATTTGTCTAGGATAAGAAGTGGCACTTGTGTGTGCTCTGGGGGCAGGCAGTGGGAACAAGCCCCAGTGATGGGACTCACACACACCTAGGCTCCTTCCTAGGGTTCCTGTTGCCGGGGGGAACCCCACCAGCTTCTCCCTGACGGAGTTGCCCAGCCTGGGTCTCAGAGCCCAGGCTTCCCCGAGCTTTCTGCAACCAGTGAACAGGTGGCCTGACCCAGCAGCATCTCGGGGAAGCTCCCCACCAACGCAAGGCCACAGTGCAGAGGAAACAGCCCAGAGGGTTTCATACTTGCTTCCTCCCCACCCCCCACCCCCGCCTGCAATGCCCCTTCTCACAGAGAGGTGAGAAAAACATGTCAACGCTCGCCACCCCCACAAGTGACCAGTGATCACAGTCTGGGGGCAGTACAACTCAAACCACTTCCTGCCTGTTCAGGGGGGGCTTAGACGGTACAAAGAACAGGTACCCAGATGGGGACGGAGGCACAGAGGCAGGGAAGGAGTCCCCCCAGCTTCTCTTCTGACCCGACCCTGGGAGCTGAGGGGTTGGTTGTACAGCAGCTGGCCTTCTACTGGAAAAATCCAACCTGGGTCTCCAGACCGACACTAGGTTCGAGTCGGACAAGACACCCTGAACACGAGCGGTGACTTCCTAAGTCAGAGGCCGACCCTGCAGCATGGAGCTCTGCACCACTGTACAACACAGGGCAGGCTCCTTCCCTGTCTGAGACAGTTTCCTCTGTTTGGAAGCAGAGACCATACACCTTCCTGTCTTGCCTGGGCTAGGCAGTCAGGTAGAAACTCACAAAAAAAGGTCCCATGAGAAGCGGGGCTTGGAAGGGCCAGGCTGGTAGGTGATTGCAGGAGGGATGATCAACACTAAGCCAGCCGTCAATGGCAGCACGGCCGAGAAGGTCAGCGGGCCTGGGAGCGTGCCGTGAGTGAGGTCTGGAGGTAGATGATGGGTTGAGTGGACATGGCCCAGCCTGGACCAGAGAAACAGGCTCTGAGGCCAACCAGACCCAAACGAAGGAAGGATCCAGTCCGCAGTGGAGAAACCGAGGTTGAGACTTACACGAGATTCCTTTTCTTTCCTGGCCCAGCTGCCCAGCGCTGGCAAAGGATCTTCCCCTTAGACATCAAGAGTCACACATCAGCCTCCTGACACTTCTCTCTGCTTCCAGAGAGGAGGGGACTGCTTAGTCCCATTTTTCAGATAAGGGAACAGAGGCCTAGAGTGCTCGGGCAAGTAGCCCAAGGTCATTCAGCTGGCAAATGACACCAGGCAGGACCGGCCCGATCTAGGTGGCAGCTACTCCCTAAAAGCTACCCTGCCACACCCTCTGGAGATATGGGGCAAGGGGTGTGGCTCTCCGGAACTGATTTTCCAAGTTATCATTTTTTTTTAGAACAATCTAGATTGCAGCCCGGTTGCGGAGACCCTCGAAGGCAAACTTCCACCTGTCACCTTGGGATGATGTCTGGCCCAAACCCCGTACCCATCTCCATTTCCTCTAGCATCTGCTTCACTGACCAAACACAGTAATTACAGGGCTTTGCTCCCAGCTTCCAAGGCGAGCCCTGGCAGTCCTCTGGCTCTGGCAGTGGTGAATCTGAGGTCATTCAGCCTTTGCAGGACAGCGGTTCTGGGGCATATGCCAACTACAGCCAGACAGGCACTCTAGGCTCCGGAAAGGTCTCAGACCCTGTTCAATGCAAGATGGCTAAGTTGTCCCTGTCCCTGATATTCAAAGCACGGCTGAGCTCCTGAAAGGCCACCTCCTGGCAGGCTAGAGAAATCAAAAAGCCAGCACCCTGGTAACAACCCTAACCTCTGAACTCGGGTCCTGGGGCTGCAAAGAATTAATGCATGGGAATGGGAAAAAAGTTATCTTTTGACACTAAAAGGATCACTGTGCTGAAATAGAAATGAAATAAAGTCAAGATCTTGATACAGGGGCTGGGAGGAAGATGGCTCAGTTGGCAAAGTGTTTGCTGTACTAACCGGGTGGACCTGAGTCGAATTCCCAACACCCAGGGAAAAAGCTAGGCATGGTGGCACAAGCTTGTCATGCCAGCACTGAGGAGGCTGAGGCTAGCCAGCCAGCTCACTCAGCAGTCTCAGGTCCTGGTGACAGAGGGTGTCTCAATAAAACCAAGTCAACAGCTCCCGGGTTTGACCTCCGGTCTGTGCATGCACGCACACCCACACACATACAAACATGTGCATGCGCACACACACATAAGATCTTGACAGTAGGAATTCAAAACATCGCCACTGTTATTAACACCATCACCGCTTCCTTACTTGTCTCTTCCCCTGAGGCTTAGGTGACTAGGCCCTTCTTGGCACTGTATTTCAGAGAGGGGTGAAAACACAGCCAGGTTTGGGACTGACCACACAGGCATCTCTGGAGCTTTGTGGGAAAGGATCGGAGAGCTCCCAGCCCAAGTGCATGCACCCACACAGGTGACACGCCTCTCCAGGTCCCTTCCTTCCTCAGTGACTTGCCTTCAAAACCATACAGACAAGCGGAGTTATTCTCCTTAGCCACTCTGCCAAAGTTCCATCAAGTTTCTGTCGCCTGACAGGCCCTGGATCTGATGCTGGGCCCACAGAAATACTCCAAGCCCAGCCCTGCCCCTAATAAAGTCACCATTTAGCAGTGACATATTTCTTCTACCCTAATGTGTCCACTAAAAGCTTTTAGACACTTACTGTTGAATCACCATCAGGATCCTCCCTAGGAGGATCACATCTTCTTTTCTGGCAGGCAAGGCCCAACTGCCCACAGGCCCCAGCAGGGAGAGGAAGGGGGTGCCTTCCATCGCTAGTCCCGAGCCTGATGGGAGGCCCCTCTCCCCAAAGGCCCAAGTGCCTACTTTAAGAATCATCTTCTCACTAATGGAGGGAAACAGCGCAGAAAGAAATCTGAGAGAAGATGGGAAAAAGCCACTCTCAAGGAAGAAAGTCAAGGGTATCCCGTGAGCACAGAAGACAGGTTCAAGTGCACTCAAGGTGGCCTCACAGGCCACATGGCATGGCTAGCCTCAGCTTTGTAGACCAGTTGGACTTTTGGCTCAGAGCTCTGTGGCAGGCGTGTGAGGTCCTAAGAGCAGCCCCCGGCCAGCTCCTGCAGAGAGACCCATCTCCCAGGCTTCCTGGAGAAGTGGCTGCTTTACGCCGGCTTCCATTTCGGGCCAGAATGTACAGACCAACAGAAAAGAATGGACTAAACAGCAGAGACCTCTGTGCGGCTCAGAGACGGCTCTCCTGTACCATCTTTCAGCATGCAGGCTGCTACGCACAACTGTTTCCCTGCAGAATCCTCCAGACAAGGCCCTGAGCAAGAAGCACTGGTTCTATTTTCTAGGTCAAGTGAGGCAGCTTGAGTCCCACAGTGAAGAGTCCGACCTGAGGCCTCAACATTCCAGGACTGCTTCCCATGCAGGTTCAAGCACGGTGTCTACAGCCCCTAACAGATACGGTTGCTCGGCAACACTGGATAACAGCCAAAGAAATGCTCAGCATCTGTCTCTTGGATGGTTCTCATAGAATGCCCCTCTGGCAACTCAGTTCTCACTTAAGGAAATACACAGCCATTCAGTGAGGGGAAGAGGGTACCAGGAGGATCAAGTGTCTGTGCCAGTATGCTGGGTAACCCCTACTCCATTAGAAAGGCCTCTGAACTCAGAGCAGGAAGTCGGGCCCAACCTCAGCTGACGTCAGCTTTCTCCCCAGGCTGAGAGGGCTTGGCGTAGTGGACAGCTCACCTTCGGGGATGGCATCCTCCTGATACACAGGCCGCAGCAACTGCAAGGGAAAGACAAGAGACCCGGCTTCAGTCCCAGGAACAGGGCAGCAGGTAGCCGCACACAGACCTGGGGTGTCGCAGGGCAAGAGGAAAACTCAGGGGTTCTCTCTTAAGGGGCAGAGGTGGAACGGAGCTGAAAGAGGCTTCATGCACCATGAAACTGGGGCCCTCTGAGAGACCTCAACTTCCTTCACGGCAGCTCGTTCCAAAGTGCATTCCATGGATCACCGGAACGGTGGGACCTTTGTGGGACACCACAGAGGTCTCCTCACAACCCAATTTTCTGTGTGGGAGACATGCTTAGCCTCCCACAGGGACCCAGTGCCCTCCCACAGCCAGCTGTCCATACCTGGCTCCCAGGGTTCAGCGGGGCCAAGATGATGTAGTTGGGGTCGGTGGCGGGGGTGGCCCGAGACAGCGCCGGCAGGGTGTGCTGGCCGCTGCGCTTGCCCACCTCGGTGTAGCGCTCCCAGCCACCGAGGAGTAGGCCATCAGAGCTGTCACACACCAGGTGGCAGCTGTGGCGCTGCTCGGGACGGGACGGGGCCCCGTGGGTACAGTTCTTCTCCCTCTTGTTAGGGGGCGACAGGAGGTCGTGTGTGGGCTTGCAGGAGGCCCGCCGCAAAACTCCGCCATCCGGCCCTGGCTTGATCTGGGGGACCACACGCCACACGAGCAGGATGATCTCGCTAGGGCAGCTCCTAGAAATCCCACAGAGAAGTTCAGACTCGGGGAGACCAGAGTCAGTGAGGGTAGGAAGCCCGCAGGGCAGAGAGCAAGTGAGGGGAACCAAGCAGGGGCAAGCAAATGCAATTTTCATGTAGTCCTTCTGGAAGCAGGCCAAAATGGACCGTGAGGGTGTGACCCCCCACGGAGTCAAGGAGCTCAAACATTTGACAGACTAAACTTTTAGATTGTGCAGTAGAGACATCTGCACTGTCTGCACACCCTTACACAAAGGGTCTAACCATTCAGTAGCATAATTAGCTGAAGTGGAACCGGCCCCCCTGGAACCATGGCAGGAACCACGGGGCCTGTTCAGAGAGCCTTTCCTGCTGCGTGCTGTGAGATCAACACTCATCGGAGCCTGAACCTTCCATTTCCAGGCCAAGAAACGGATTCCCTGAGGAGCCATGTAAATTGCTCACAGCTGGGCAGAGAGAGGGGCAGGAGCAGAGTAAAGCGAGGCAAGGCAGTGTGCCCGGGGCTGGGTGGGGAGGACGCGCCATCCGCCGCCCACCGCCCCTTGTCACCGGATCTCGTGGGCCAGCTCCACACATTTCCAGTGCTCCACGGGCCTCTCGTTCAGCTGCAGCACGGTGTCCAGCTGCTGCAGGCCTGCTCTCTCGGCTGGGCCCCCTGCAAGGACAAAGAAAAGAGCCTGGAGCCCTCCGCTTCCCCCGCGACCGTGGGCAAGGAGGGCCCCTTTTCTCTCCGGTTGCTCTGACTGAGAAAAGAGGGGCTGGACCAGGGGGCTGCCGGAGGTAGCACTCCTTGCCCATGTCTCCTCTCACCCTAGCTGCACCCCCCGACCCACCACTGTCCCCCTCCAAGGGTCTCCTGGATCAGTAAGGGAGTGATATCTTTTTTGGTGGAGGAGGTGTGTGTGTGTGTGTGTGTGTGTGTGTGTGTGTGTGTGTGTGTGTGCGAAAGTGTGGGAGAGGGAGGGAGAAAGAACATATGCACACATGCATATGGAAGCCAGAGGACAACCTCTGTACAACAAGTGTCTTTCCTCAGGCACTGTTTTTTTTTTTAAAGACAGGGTCTCTCACTGGCCTGGGACTCATGAAATAGACGACTCCAGCAAATCCCAACCATCTCCTTTCTCTGCCTCCTCGCTAGTATAATTACAAACACAAGCCACTATGCGTGACTTTTTCTTTTTTTCTTTCTTTCTTTCTTTCTTTTTTTTTTTTTTTTTTTTTTTTTTTTTTTGGTGTGGGTTCCAGAGACCAAACACACATCCTTGCCTTTGCAAAATGAGTACTTTACCCAGTGAATTAACTTCTTATCTCTGCTTGTTTTGTTTTGGGGTGTTTTTGTTATTTGTGTGGGGGGAGGGGCAGAGTCTCATGATACAGGCCCGGCTGGCTTTGAACTTCCAGTATCTCATTCCAGAATCCTCCTGCTGAGCAGGGGCTACAGGTATGAGCCACCACACCCAGCTGGGAAGTGCTGAGTGGGCCTGGAGACAGGATGAAAACTCGTAAGTGGCTTTCACTAGCCATCACAATCCAAGTTTAGTTCCTCTTCAGAAACCACCGGGAATCAAAAATACAACACCTTATTTTCACTTTGATAAAACAAACGAACACAAATGGGTCCATTTTCACAGACCTCAGATTCACCTGCGGGTCATTAAAAAATATTATTCTTTTCCTTTTGGAAACCCAGACCCTGATCCAGTGTGAGGCCCCCTCCGGCTCCAAACCGTCCACAAAGCCCAGTTGCCTGGTGGGAGGGGAGGACTGGCATCCTTCGCCATTCACTTACCAGAATCCACAGCCTGGACTCGGACCGGCGAGTCACAGCAGATGGTGAAGCCGAAGCCGTCTTTGCCCCTCGGGATAGTGATCTAGAACACAGCCCTGCCAGTTACTCCAGAGTTTTTGAAGCTGGGAAGCCGCTAAACCCTCCACCCGCAGCCACCTTCCTCTCCACAGGAACCAGACCTGAAAAGGAGCCAGCCAGCCTCTCTCTGCTCCTATCTGAGACCCAGCCTCGTGACACTGACTGGCGGCCCAAACAGGCTGCTGAGAGCTCACGCGGAGGGCAGAATTGACTGGGTCTGGGAAAAGGATAAACCTTGCCCTTTGTGGTGCTAACAGCCCCAGCTCTTTACCCAAGAGCCGCCTAGAGTTGCACACCTCCTCTCCCAGCCTGCCTCCTCCCGCCCAGCTTCCCTTCCCACCCGGGTCTTGTGCTGGGGACCCAGAAATAAAGCCAAGCGGGTGGGCCATCCTCCCAGAGCACAAGGGAGGGAAAACTAGGACATGCTCTCGCAGCCTATGGCCAAGTGTCAGGGGAAGAGTGCTGGTGTCCACAGGCAGGCCTGATCAGAGCCTCTAGGCAGCCAGAAAGAGAGTTCCCGAGAGAGGAGGTAGGCCCAGGCAGAGCCAAGGTCTCCGGGATAAACCAGCACAAGCCACAGGCTTCACTCTGCCTGCAGAGGGCTATGTGTCGGGGAGGGCCACAGCCCCAACTTTCAGAAGTTCCGTCAAGGGACCATTCCACGGGGATTCTCTTTGCAGCCGCAGCATCCTATGATCCAGCTCCTGCTGTGTGTCATGCACTGCTGAGGCACACGGGACAGGGGCCCCTGGGGAGTGGCACTTGGCCTCTGGCTTCTAGAGAGGACAAGCCCACACACAACCTCGCCCGGGGAAAAGTAGGCCATGACAAGCAACAGAGGAGAAGACAGGGCTGTACAGCAATCAGGCCCGTGTGACCCCGGACACCGCGCCTGCGCGTGGCAGGCGTTTAGCAAAGGCTTTTGTCCCTTAGGGTGGTGGCAGCATCTGACCTAGAGAACGTTTACATCTGGGGCCTCAGAAATGGTTCAGTGCAGTGGTTCTCAACCTTGGCAACGCTGCTGCAGATCCCCTAGTACAGTTCCTCGTGTTACCGTCATCTCCCAATCACAAAATTACTTTCGGTTGCTACTTCGTAACTAGAATTTTGCTACTGCTATGAATCGTAGTGTAAATATCTGATATGCAGGATGTCTGACATGTGACCCCTGTGCAAGGGTCATGAGACTCCCGAAAGGGGTCGAGACCCGAGGTTGACAACGGCTGCCTCAGCGGTTAGGGGCACGGCCACTATTCCGGCCAGTACTAGCACCTGAGTTCTAGTGTCCCAGCTTCCATGTCAAGCTCCAGCTCCACGAGGCCCAACACCTCTGGCCTTCATGAACTCCTACCCAGGCACACATATAAACATAATTTTAAAAAAATCTTTTAAAGCAAAATCTTCAAAAAATAAAAAATAAAAAGGGTGATTCTGTGTGCAGCATGGCCCATAGGCTCATTCAGAGGATTAGATCGGAAAATGGCTTCAGAGGGAGTCAGTCCCAAGATACCCTTAGGAGAGGGAAAGGCCCGGGTGACTCCCACCAGGGCACAAAGAAAAGGTATCCCGGCTAGGAAGAGGAAGAAAAGAGTTCAGCCGGCCTGGACTAGGTCAAGGGCATCAGCCATGTGCAGAGCCGGCTGTCTCTTGGAGCTGGGCGCCTGTATTCACCTGATGGTACCCCGAGGCCAGGCACAGTGAAGGGGAGCAGGCAGGAGCCCAGGGTGACCAAAGGTCCCCGAGGCTCTGCTTCCCACCAGTCCTGGGCCTGGATTCAAAGCAAGTTTATAAAACAGGAAATCTGACAGACAAGGGGGAGGGGAGGGGGGCAGGAAAATACCCTGTTCCCATAAGAATTCTGGGAAAACACACAGCTAAGACAGGAAGAGAAGGAAAAAGTGGAAAGAAAGCTAAACAAAGCTGGGAGTGAGTGTGGATCTCTGGAAGAACGAGGCGCCTCTAGTTGCCAGGCCAAGAGAGGCCCAGAGAAGACAGTGGGAGCCACTGTGTGGGACTAACGGGGGACTTACAACCCACCGGCCACGCCACACAGCCACCCTTCCAGCCCTGCTCCAGGCCTATACCACAGGATGCTGAGGATGACTCCTCCTTTCTGGAGGGTGAGCCCCAGCTCCCTGGTCCGCAGATGAATGTGTTTCCACACTCTGGTACTCTAGTCCAGGCAGCGATGGGAGCCTCTTCACCTCCCTGAGTGTCACCCCAGAGAACAATCCCATCCCACTGGCAAGCAGAAGAGCGGCAGGCAGGAGAGGGGATATAAAGAAAGGAGAGTACCGCCTGGCTTTGTGGGAGAAGCGGACTGCCATGGAGGCAGAACCGTACCGCCATGATCTCTGATCATGCATGCAGAGGGGGGTGTCCAAGAGTCTGTCCGTCACCACATCCTAAGGAATACAGCCTCAGCGGGCCCCTTTCACAGAGAAGGCAATCAAGGCCCAAAGTGAGAGGACGTTCTCCCACCCTCCTCTCTGACCTTGGGCTCAAGGAGGGAGACCGTCCTCTCCTGACTCTCAGCAGCTCCTGACAGGTGTCCTTCCCGGGGTGGTTCCTTCTCTTGCCTGTCGAGGGCAAGGAGTGCCGTTGCTCCTGTGTCTCAGCCATGCCAGCGCCTGCCTAGTCTCTGACGTTCTGTCACACCTGGACTCCTGTCCCTGGCTGCCACCAGCGTTTACTGACCACTCCCTGGAGATGGGCGGCAGGCACAAGCCATGCACTTTATAGGAGTCATCAAACTCGCACAGGCTTGTCTCGGTTACATCACTCCTATTTTAGGGACAAGGGGCTATGAATTGCTCAGCAGTGGCAGCTAAAGGGGACCAAGCTGGACTAGAGTCCCGGTCCCATAGAAAGTTTAGTGCACCCCAGCTTCTAATGCAGGGGACATCTTACTCCACGCCCAGAGCTTGGGTCCAGTCCATGTGTGTACCAGGTCCCACTCTGGCCACCAGCACATCCCAGTCTTCTGGTCCCTTAGCCCAAGGACACCTGGGATTTCATTACCTTCCATCTAGTGCTCACCCCGCCCCACGGGGACTGTTCAGTCCGACCGCAGCAAAGTAGGAAGCATAGGTTGGGACGAGTAGGGCAGGATCTGAGAGCAGAGGAAGGACGAGAGGAACATCTGGATACCCGAGTGACAGAGGCAGGTACAGGGACCCCGTGGGCATCTCCCTGTGACCTACACCCTAAGGAGTTAGGACCTAGATTCTAATGAGGGCCTTCTTCATGTTTTAGCAATCAGAAAATTAGTGTGCTCCCTCGGACACTGCAAATCTGGGTATCTTTTACCTTTACAGCCAACCCATTCCTATTTTATAAGAAAGAAAATCCTAGCGGTGGTGCTCACGCCTTTCATCCCGGTACCCAGGAAGCAGAGGCGGGAGGATCTCTGAGTTCAAGGACAGCCAGGGATACACAGAGAAACCCTGTCTCAAAAAGAGAAAAGAAAAGAAAAAGAGAGAGAGAGAGAGAGAGAGAGAGAGAGAGAGAGAAAGGCCTAGTTCTAGAAGAGTTTTAGGGGTGAACGTCGCCATCACTCCGGCCTCTCCCCTGCCTCCCAGCCCAGAAGCTAAGAGGCAGCCTCAGTGAAGCTGGAGTCTAAAGGCACAGCAATGTGGACCCACTTCAAGGCCGCAGGGAGGAAAACATATGCATACACAGAATATCCTATCTCACACAGAAGCCCACACCAACACACACAAGGGACGAAGCGGTACGGCTGCCCACCAGAAAGAGGAAAGTCAGCAATCCTGTATCCCTCCCTCCGGAGTCCCTCAGCTTCCCGGCCCAAAAGCCATTGGCAATCTCAGATTTGACATGCCTTTTTAAAACAAAAACAAAAACAAAAACAATCACTTCCTTCCCAGATGATAAAAACAAAAAAAATCAGCTAAATCATCTCATCAAGGATGCCAGCCAGTGGTTAGGACACACAGAGTTGGCCTCGGCTGCCCGTAACATGGGGCGTTAGGTAGCAGACAGGGCCGTGGGTCCAGCCTCTGCCTCAAACTCCCGCACCCCATATCAAAATGTGCCTGCAGGGGACAGGAGGAGGCACAGAAGGCCTTGTGGAGAGAGAGATTCTACATGGATGAGCCCCCATCCCTGACTCCCCAAATCACGCGGGACCCCAGAGGGATCAGGCACCCACCTGCCGGTAGCGGCGTTCTGAGCACACCTTGCAGAGCCCATTGAAGCGGTTCATGGCTGCGGATCCTGCCTCAGCTGCCTCCCCATGAAAACCCAGCTCTCCCCCCAGCAGCGGGAGCCCGCACTGCGCCCCGTCAGCCTGGCATGACCGCCCTGGGAAGCCCGCCCCACAGAAGAATGGCAGGAAATCACCTCTCACCTCCCCGAGCCCTGTCTGCGCTGTGTGCCTCTGCAGATAAGCCCGAAGGCTTCCTGAAACCTCAGAATGACAAGGAAGAGAGAGAGTTTTATATTCAAATTCCTGTCAACTAGTTAGTATTCCTCGGGGCTGGCGGGGAGAGGGCGCCTTTGTTCTGGCTCCATTCTCTGCCCTGGGCCACTCTGTGGGTCCAGTGTTCTCACAAACACCCCTCACCGCCCGCGAGAGAGAAACTCAAGCGGAAAACACGCGCCGCTGCTGCTCTGTAACAGCACACCTCCTGCCAATCCCAGGGTCCCCAGGAGCGAGTCCTGTGCACTAAGCCAGTGGGGGCAATCCGGGATGGCCTAAGCACGGTACCCAAGTCAGGGCACCCAAAACATTTGGAGACTGATGGGCACTCTGGAGCTCCTTCCAAGTCAGCTTCTTCGGTCACAAAAGTAGGCTGTGCAGAGGGGCTGATGGCCCACAGATGTGCAAGCGGGCTCCCAGCCACGGGGGCATCACCCTCCACATCTTAACGACAACGAAACGGAGGCCGAGAGTGGCCACAGCTGAATGCCAGGTTAGAACCCAGGCCCTGCCGTCAAGTTCCCTGTAGTTCCAGGATCGGGTCTTGTGAGGGGCACAGAATGAGCCCAGCCCCCTCTGGCCTCCTAGGAGCCCCTGGGAAAGCCCACCCGCTCACTCACGTTATTAGAAGAGAGGCAGTCCCTTGGTTTGGTTGCTAAGTGATCATGGGTAGGTGACCTACATCTCTATGTCTTTCAAACGGATTCGAATAAGCAAACTCTTGTTTTCCCAAACCTCTGCCAATCCCTGTCTCTGCTGAGCACTATGGACACCTTTCGGGTGTATCAGTCCCCAAATCCAATGCACTTGAGAACAGTGGCCTTGGGGACATGGGACAGTCTGCAGAATCTAGCACAAACTGGGTCTTTTCACAAGCCACCTGGAGACCTGCAATGTTGATGTCTAAGTAATTCCCACATATCACCAGGGTGGCTCCAGAGTCACTACCCCATCACAGACAGTGGGGGCAAGATCTTTGGAAACTATCCCTGAAGCTAGGGGAAGCTTTTCAACTCCGTGTGAAGCCATAGAAACCACATCTGGCAAGTTACCCTAGCACTATAATGGGAGCTAGACATTTGTACAAGGCAAACTGAAATTACCTGACGCGAAATAGAAGCTGTAGCTCAATTCCTCAGGCTCACCTGCTACAGCCAAATGCTCAGCAGCCACAGGCAGCAAGCTGGTACTGTGCTGGGCAGTGATATTCTCAACAGTATGTTCCACAAGGGCTGAACCAAGGCTCTTTCCCAGAACCCAGTGCCAGGCTGGGGTCCATGCAGGTGTAACCACCCCATCGTGTGTGAGGGGATGGACGAGTGCAGCCAATGGAGAGGTTTCCTAGATCGCTCAAGGAGCCTGCCCACATCACGTCTTCTCAGTGATGTCTTCTCCACACTCTAGAGACAGTAGGGCGCAGTGCACACCCTCTTCAGAGGCACTGTCTGCCGCTTGCTGCCCGTGTGGCCACGGCGACATATAACCCAGGGATCTGTATGTCCCCTTATCGGTAAGGCGGGGTGGTGAGGTTTAAGTTAGACCACGGTAGCACCCAGGGGATAACTGGTCCCTGGGAGTTGGATTTTCCTTCTCCTAGTTAAAGCAAACCATGAGTCCCTGTGAGAGGTTCTCTAAAGAGACTGAGTGAACTGTGGACAATTCTTCCAAATCCCTACACAATGTTCCTCTTCAGATTCAAAGCTGGGGAAGCCAGAAACCCATACCGTTCAGGTTCAGAGTCAGCCCCGGCAGGCCTAACCTGTGAAGATGGCATGGCCATGGTCGTAGGAGAAACAGGGGTTCTGGGGACCTCGGGGAAGGGAGGATTCTGTTTCTGGAGGTCAAGAAAATCTGAAAGATCCTGTGTTTCCAGGCTCTCTCCTACCCTTGCAAAGGTCACAAATAACTACACACGGGGCAGTGACATACCTTTCCAATGACACACCTTAGGAAAGCCAAGAATCCTCCCTCACAATGCATGACTTGCTGAGTTCCAAACATCAAATGCTACCCCCTTTCACAGGTACTTCCTGGGTCAGGAGGCTGACAGAAAGGGGATCAGAGACCCTGGATCCATGCCCAGGTTCCACCAGCCCCACCTACCTGGAGTCTCTCCCCACTCTCAGGGTCCCCAACTCCTGGCATTCTCAACAGCATATCTGGAAGGTGATAGAGCAGAGTCAGAAAGTTCCTACGGGCAGGAGGGCCCATGCGCCAACCAACCAGGGATGGGAGTGTCGAGCTTCCTGGCTTCCAGGTAGAAGGATGCCAAGGCTCGGAGCAAGCAGTGGCTCAGGAGCCAGGGCTGTGAGGGAAAGAACAGGACCGAGGGGGCATGAAATCTAAGCCCTGAGCCTCAGGCTCACGGCGGACCCTAAAGCCATGCCTGCAGAGGTGAGATTCCCAAGGTCAGCAAGGCCTCACAGATGAGATACAGAACCTTGGGAAGGAGACACTTGGGAAGTAAAGAAGCTTCTGTGAGTGAGGCAGGGGACTGATCTGTGTGAAGTGGCACAAACTCCGAGGAAAGCTCATCATATGGTAATCATGTCCTGGGCATGGGGTAGCCTGTGGTGCTGCGGCAGCTGGAAAGAAGTCCCAGGGAGGTGAGATTCATGCTCCACTCATTACAGGTCAGGGAGCTTCAAGGGGCTCGTACACACCTCTCAGGGGCTGGAGCCGCCGCCTAGCCACCTTGAGGTGCTTGGTCCGGCCCAGGTCCTCCCCTAGCAGATAATACCAGCCACTGATCTCCTGTCATGAGAGAAGGAAGGACGTGATCAGACCAAAGAGGCAGAGGGAACAGGTCAAGGCACCACTAACCCCTCAAGAACAAACCAAACAGCAAAAACTGCAGCTGGACATCATTCCTCAGATGCCGATGGTCCAGTCTCCCCGCCCAAGGCTACCACCTACACCAAGAAGCCTCCCCTGATGCTCTGGACAGAACTGGTTCTCCCTCGGCCTCTTAGCCCTGGAGAACAACTCTGGCCTCGCCTGCCTCCTGCCTCCAGCCAGGCTCTCAGACGTACCTAATATTGAGCCTGGTAAACAGTAGTAGGTGCTCATTAAATCCATGTTTACAGAACAGAAAGATAAGAGTGAAGAGCAGTGGAAAAGGCCACAAAAGCAGGTACTCAAGACCTCTGTGCCGTCTCCACGAGGAGCACCTTCTCACAGTCCTCAGAGCAGATGGAGGCCAAGGCTGCAGGCAGGAGATCCGAAGGACCTCCACACAGCCATCTCGTGACTTCACTCCAGGACACAAAGCTAAGTGGCAGGGACATTTTCAAGATGTGGAGAAGTGCACCCATCCCTGTCCAGAGCTTCCGGTTTGGGGCTGCAGTGCCCAGTAAGGGCAGGTGAGCAACAGGGACCCAAAGGAAGGGTCCTGTGAGCCCCATCTGAGAGGGGTGGCATCAATGCCAGTGCTGCCCCCTCCTGCACCCAGAAGACAGGTCAGGAGGACCCTTGTAGAGGGGTACCAGGGGTGCCAGTTCCCTTCACCTAGAGCAGGTTAGGAGCACCTACATCCCATGGGACTTGCCAAAATACTTCATGGCATCCTGGCATCCAGCAGACTCTGCACTTCCTAGGGAGCCTGGAGGCTGCCAAACTGCCCTCTGGAAGCGTACCCAAACCCTTCGCCAGCCCAGTGACAACAGCAGCCTGTAACTTAGGTTACCAATGCCTGCCTCAGTGGAACACCATGTGTCACAGGGAACAGCTCAACCCAAGCTTTTGCAGGGTCAGCATGAGTGTACCAGCCAGGGCCTAGGGGGGGCTCTTGCTCCTGAAGCTTCCTGTCAACTCACCTTGTCCGGAGTCAAGAGGGATCTCACCCCGAAGCTCATGCAGCCGATGAGAGCATGCTGCCTAGGAGAGGAGCAGAGAGTGAGTCTCCCGCTGTCTGTTCAAGGAAGTCTTCTGTCAAATGTTCCACAGTCTACATGTGGCTTCCTGAGGGCACCTCCACCTGCCTCTGTTCCTTTGTCCTTCCCACTTTGTGAGGTGGTACAGGAGTTCTACTCAGTTTCCAGAGGAAGACACCAGGCTTCATTGGTCCCCTTCCCAAGGTCACAGAATAGTTCGTAGTCGGTTCTGAGGGAAGCCAAGCATCCTAGGCCTGGGCAGATGCTGTATTCTCTGACGCCACGGGAGCTCAGGACTGCCTTGAGTGTCTTAGCTGTTCTGGTGCTGGGTAAGTGGAGAGGACTGTCCCCATCAGAGACTCCTGGCCCTCACCTCAGCTGGGGACATGCAGTAAGAAGAAAGCTATGGAGCCTCAGCTCACAAAGCTTTGCCTTGCATCCAAGCAGGACCTTCGCAGTTCTCAGATGGCTGGAGACCAAGTTCCAGACATACCTAACACACTAAAGTCACAATGACCCACAACGACCTGTCTGACCTGTCAGTGGGACAGGCAAGCATGAGCCAAGGTCAGGCCTCATACATTGTCAGACTAGGGTTAGCGTGAAGCTCAAGCTGGGCTTCTTGGGTAACAGGAATTCAAAGTGCCTAGAGAATGTCCAACCACCAGGAACTTATTAACAGCTTTTAATAAGGATGGTACCGATCAATGCTAATGAAATGCCAAAGCTTGCTATTGTCAGAGAAAAGGACCCGTACAAAGCTGTAGTTTCATGGGAAACAGAACCACAAAAGACAAACAACGGCTGTGTCTGGTAGGTGGGATTGTTTTCAAATCTTCACAGGAACAGTCACTGCTTTTGCAGCGTGAGGTGGTGTAGAAACGTATTTTTAAGGACCTCTATTGTACAGCATTATACTTGACCCTGATACCACACATAGTTAGACTGGAGCAGAACAGTGGCAGCTTAATTCGCACTGTCTGTAGGGCCCACGAAGATGGAGGATTTGGTCTGTCCTGGAAGGCACAGTGTTAAAGCAAAGATAGACAGTAAACTCCCTGCAGATACACCTCCCGGGAGGCTGGTCTACAGGGCCCAGGCCCGGGAGGCAACTCTGAAGAGTACAGCATCAAAGGGCTGCCCAAAAACCTGCCTGAGATTTGAGCTGTAGAGCTCATGCCTAGGTCCAAACCAAACTGGTTCAAGGCAGCGTCTGGGCACTGGAGCCTGGAGAAAGCTATCCAGGGATTCTGCAAGGCACCCACCCACGGTCAAGCGGAGGTCAAGAAGCCTCCATAAATACATATTGTTTGGATTCTCCGGAAAGGGTGGCAGCTTGCCACCTGATAGTGGTAAGCATAACAAAACTAGCTTCTCCCAGGCGGCCGCGTCGTCGAGTGAGGGGCAGGACACAGACGCTGCGGACCGGTCCTCAACACTGGCCACCCACCCCTTCTATCCAAGTTCTAAACCACAGCCACAGGACTGGGACCTGGACTGGGACCTCGGAGTTCACCCAGCTCTCTCTCTCCACGGCATCACTTGGCTACTTCTCCAGCTGTGGCCCATGGTCTCCTCCTCCTCCCTGTCTCCTCCTATGATTAATAACTCGCTCAAGGAGGATAATGCAGTCCCCCCCAAATAAGACATCCCTTCACCTTCCCACCCCACTGTTCTGAACAAATATTCTTCCCTCTTGGAAAGGGGTCAGGGCTGCACTGGCAGATGAGACTGTCCCAAGCAGCAATCGCCCAGATAGCTGCCACTCGAGGACAGCCTTTGCAGGCTCTACCAGCGTGCTCCTGGGAAGTTTGTTCTCATCAGCACAGTTGGGAGAGCCTTGGCCGGTAGGGAGGTGATGCACACCCTGCACTCAGGCTGGCCACCGCGGCAGATTTTCCCATCTCCAGGCTGGGGCTTTAGCTGTAATCAACACTGCCTCTCCCTACTCTGCTGTAAGTGGAATTTTTATTCCCTGATGCTTAGAGAATGCTAAATGGTTAATAGCCTCCCTCGAGCTTTGCTTCCCGCTAAGGGGCCTCCAGTGATTTCATGATCATTCAGGCAGAGTAAATTGTCACAATTAATGTCCACAAGCAGGAACCTCTCTCTGAGTGTTCTTCAATCAGCTACTTCTGAAGACTGCTTTTGAAAACCCTTTGGAGGAAAAACTGCTTATATAAGCAGCCTGGGCATACAGCAAGGTACCGGCCAGCTTACCCACTCGAGCCCATGCAGGAGAGGCTGGCAACTTCCCTCCGTGAAGAGGCTCTGGAACCACGCCTTGGTCATTGCTGATTGCCAAGGCTCCAGCTCCAGGCTTCTGCACTCAGCAAAGGCTTGACAAATGGGGGAATCCATCATGCCCATGGTTGGCAGGCCCTGGGCAAGGAGCCCCAGTGTGAAGGAAACAAGACAAATAGGCAGGAATTTCAATGGCAGTTCAAGACGGCAATAGAGGCCCTGACGCAAGACGGAGCGAGATTGACAGATGAACGGTGCGGGGCAACAAATTGGGAAGGGCGCAAGAGGCAGCCGGGGCTGGGAGGCTTGCAGGAGGTCACAGGAGCAGAGCCAGGAAGGATGAGAGGGAGAGCGTTTCCGAGAGGGGGACCAACCAGTGCAGAGGCTCAGAGGCGGAACAGGGCTCAGCTTACTGCAAGGCGAGGTGCGTTATGTTTTCGGGAAGACGCACTGATCTGCTCATTGAAGAACCTTGAACTATTTTGTATCACAGGGTTTTATAATGTAATCTTTATTTCTAGTTTGATGCCTTAAATTGAGTCCATGTCTTTCTATTCACTTTTTTTCCTTTGGGCTACTTGCCCATCACTGGTCACAAGCTTTCTGATGTTAGGCCGCTATACTTGGCACGGAGATCCTGTTTGTAAAAGGGGTAAAGAGGGGGCTGTCCCTAGAGTGCTGAGGGCGGTGCCTGCCGCATAGCAAAGCAGACCTTCCATATACGTAGTTACTGTTTTCACAGAAGATTGCATCCTTTAATTTTATATAATATATAGATAGATAGGTAGATAGATAGATAGATAGAACTCAAAAACACTGTTAATATCCGTCTACAACAGTTTTTTGCATTGACAAGTCAAATGTCTGTCTTTCGGAGGAACAATTACATCTTTCTCCAAGGCGGTTCTCTGGCTACAAGTTCAGAAAGTGCTTTAAACGATATTATAAGCTTCAGTTTGCCTTTCTGCTTATTATCCAGCAAGACGTCCAAACAGTTTAGCTCTGTGTTCAAAGTGCCTGGGGAATTAGATGGATTACCATTTTCTGAGTGTGATTATGTCTTTATAATTCTGTTTCTTTAGAAGTTATCATATATATATATACATATATATTACTGATAAGACATGAAAATGTGTGGGGTTTGCTTGAAAACAATCCACTAGAGGAGGGGCAAGGGGTGGGCAGAGAGAAAGATCAACCACATGTTAATAACAGATGCATTGGGGCTATGCATCTCTGGGGGTTGATATCTACCTTCTAGCTTTGCATATCTTTGAAAAGGTCTATAGTTTTGTTTAGTTTAGCTTATCAAACTATTTTATGAAGGTAGCTATAATTTTTAATATTCACAGAACTTTGAAATTGAAAAAAAAAAGCCACCTTAGAGATGTCTGCATTTTACGGACAGAGAAACTGAGGCCCGGAGTTGAGGAAAGGCTGGCCCACAGTGGCCCAGCCAGTGAAAGTGGTTCTCCTTCACAGGCTCAGTGGTTCTCCTCAGCTCCTGCCAAGATGTTGGCATGCGCTGACATCCATAGCTCCGCCCCAGGATGCTGTGTGTCTGTGATTGGTGGTGTCTGTGCACAGGCGTATATACGCACATCGGCCAGAGGACCATGTCAGGTGCCCGGCTCTGTTGATCGCCACCTCATCCCCTCATTACAAGGTCTCTCGCTGAAGCTAGAGTGAGGCAGGCAACTAGAAACCCACTCATCTTCGTGTCTCTGACCACCACTGTACTGGGGTGACAGGCTTGTGTGCTGCCACGCTTGGCTTCTTGTGTCGGTGCTGAGGATTTGAACTCAGGTCCTCATGCTCGCACAGCGAGTGCTCTCACCCACGGAGCCAACATCTCCCCAGCCCCACCTGGACTTCTCTGTACATCCCGTCCCCATTAGGAATCGACAGCCACCACCAGGAGGCTCTTTCCTTCTTGCTGACTACAGGAGGCGGAATGTGCCCACTGCACATTGGACTGGCTGGTTCATACAAAGCCACATTACATGTGTTGAAACATCTCAGGGCTGGAGGAGCAAGCCACTGGCAGCGAAGGAGAATGGCTTTGGAGTCATCATTTGTCACCCTCGGGAGGTGGGCCAGCTCACTGCGGTGTGACTACAAGCAAGGACTTGCTTTCTCAATGCCTGGATCTGCAGCTGATTTTTTTCCCTGCATTCCAGCTGTGTTACTTTGGACATGTTATATAACCTTTCTGTGCCTGTTTCCTCTCCCATAAAAGAGCAGAGTGAGGATTAAATTAGATAAGGCATGCCATGGGCTTAATGTTCACGCAGAATAAATGCTTGTTAAGTACCGGCCATTATATAACCTCAAGGTCTTACGCCTTCATAGGCCTTTGAAGAGAAAGACGATCGTGATTCTCACCCCTCCAAACCTGCGTTACATGAGATAATGCATGGGAAATGCTTTGTGATGGAGGACGGTTCAATAAACTTGCCTCCCACCTTCCATGATGGTCCTTCACATCGATAACTTGTATGTCTGTCCTTCAGAGAAACGCAATTTGATTTGGGAGCATTTGGCAGAGCCTGTGTTTCCTGGAGTTGCTGTCTGTCTGCTCCAGCTCAGAGGCCTCCTCTGGTCGATAAAGAAGAGGCAGCTAAGAGCGCTGGGAGGCTGCACACAGCCAGCGTGGTGCTGACAGGCTCCATCTGCTGCAGGCAGGCCTGCCTGAGCCTGCCCCAGCCCTCTTGAGCTTAGGGCTGGGGCTCTGACCACGAGGCTGGCTGTGTTTTATTTAATACGAATCTCACTTTCCCAAAATAGGCAACTGGTGGAGACAGGGCCCTGATCAGGCGGCCTCGCTGGGGACTGACTCACTTTCCCCAGCTTTACTTTCTCTTCCAAAAAACGTGACGGGCATTGCCGGCTC